TAGTGATACGCGCATTCAGGCGCGCAGTCGCTGAGAGTTGCTGTGATGACGCTCGGCTCAAACAGCGTATCCCCCGGGAGAGCTACAGAATCCCTGAACGCCCATAGGCTGTATCAGGTGTCAATCATAGAAAACATGTTTCTCCTAATAACTTTTAAAAACGGAGCTTCACAGAAAAAAGAGGACTTGAGCACAAACCAGTCTGACAGTAACTACATGTCAACATCACAAGCAAGGGGGAGAAACATTTATATTCTGTGTCATTAATTTATAAAGTTTGTCCACAGCTCCAGAAGCTTTGCTGGCAGAGGTGGGATTTATGACCTATACTGCAGCCCATCAACAGAGGGTGCTGTTCTCGGAGTTGCTTTACCCAGCAAGGAGGCAGACGGCGTCCATTCTTTATACAGTCTATGGCTTGGACACTGTGTAAAATGTTGATGGAGAGAGCTCTAGATCGTTTGTGAATCATCTCAATCCTGAGTTTAATCGGACATAGCCGAGTTCTCAAGCTAACCTAAAATAAGTAAGAGGTAATGCATAGTAAATAGGTAGTTTGGAAATCAGAATCCCAATTAGGTGAGACCAGACCCTGAGCTAAAACCATAAATTTATAGACACTTAATGTGTCTAAAAATATGTGGATAGAAAAATAGTCCCTCTGAATACACAATTAGTTGCAGTTTTCTGGCACACAAAACCAGGCATGACTCTGTCAGTGCATGGGCTCGAACGAACCTCCAAAAATCATTGTCTGTGAACACAGTTTGTACCTTGTGGTTTCCACTTTACAATGCAAAGAGGAAACCATACACACTGTAAAAATATCATTTTAATACAAAGATTGTTAATCTGTTCATTTGCTGTGCATTAGCTGGTAAAGCAGTCAATTAGTGCGGCTAACAGTGCTTTGTGAAAATGTCATTCCTCTCTGTGCAAAAATAAACCCTCCAGGTTTCATGCTGCTTGTGTGAGATTGTTTCTAGTCAAGGTTCAGTCAGACAATCTGCCTTTTATTCTTTGAACTGGTTGTTGCAGCAGCTGAACATTGACCGTGTTTAGGCTCTAGGCTCCAAACTTATCATCCCTGGAGGATTAATTTTGCATGTATTAAATATGACAGTTATGGAATCCTGTTTTTGTACCCCATGGAGCCCGCAGGTAGATGCTGGGGTTATTGTGGGGCTAAAGCAATGCACAGAGAAATTGCATATGGGCATTAGGGGGAATGGAAGGACATCCAGAGAGCACGCTTTCCATGACTAATACACTGGAGGGACATCCAGAGGACACTTTCTTAGAATTTCACAGGTAGGGCACGAGTGGGGAATTTTTTTTTCCATATTTCATACAACAAAAATGCATCTAGGGGGCACTTTTTCCAAGTTTTATATGGTGAAAGGTCATCCTGAGGGCACTTTTTTTAACCTTAATCGAAGGACATTCAGAAGACACTCTTCCCGGGATCTTATCCTTACAGGGTATTGAGGGGGCACTGTTTTACCTCTAAGAAGGTGCATCCAAGGCAGCACCCTGTCAAGGTTTTTATCCTATGAGGGCTTCCAAGGTGAGAATTTTTCACCTGAATCTTACAGGAAAGAGCTTTGAGAGGGCACTTGCCCCATATTTTATATCATAGAAGAGCTTTCTGCGGGCACTTTTTAAAAGCCATACAAGCAGGCCATTTAAAGGGCACTCATCCAACTTTCTATACAGTGAAAGGGAATCCAGGGGCTTGAGAAGGGTCTTGAGAAGGCACTTTTGTACCCCTACCTTACAGCAAGGACATCAGGTGGGCACTTTCTCACACCTAAGTAGAGCATCCTGATGGCACATTTCTTTACATTTTTATGGTCCAAGAAGACTGTTTGATTTGAAGTTCCATCATGCTCATCAGTGTCAGGTCAATCTTTACTTAAATACATATAACACATTGAAAGAACAACCATGATTTACAAAAGTGCTGCTCAAGCTTGAAACATGCAGTCAAAGAATAAATAAAATGTGACAAATACTACTAAACACTGTATGTGCAGTAAAAAGGAGTAAAACATGTTTGCACACTACAATCAAATCAATCAATCAAATTTTATTTATATAGCGCCAATTCACAGCAGTCGTCATCTCTAGACGCTAACCCTAACCCTAACCACGCTCATTGTTTGATCAAGAACCAACCTAAGATGGGTTTTGGCCCATCTCAACTAACGTGAGTAGCAGTGGCAAGGAAAATCTTCCTTTTAACAGGCAGAAACCTTGGGCAGGACCAGCCTCATGTTAGACAGCCACCATGCAGCTGCTGGGCTGGGGAGGAATGTAGAGAGATTGAGGGAGAGAGAGGAGAGAGAGAAGAGGGGAGAGGGGAGAGGGCAGGGGGAGAGAGAGAGAATGAGTAAGGAGAGGGAGGGGGAGGGAGAGACAGTAGAGAACGAGGGTGAGAGAAAGACAGGGGGCAGCAGAAACATTAAAACAACGACAACAGCTCATGTAATGGTGAAACAAAATGAGTTCAGTTTACAGGGTTAGGATATGAGTGATTATGGACAATGTTAAATTAATTAAATGTGATTTCAGTCAGCAGGCCTAATCATAGTCAGCTCTAGTTTTATGTTATTAATGTCAGTGAGGCTGATGTTCATGTCTGCAGTAACAGTCCAGAGGAATCCAAGAGAAGAAGGAGCTCAGGGCCTGAGGTGGACAATCATAGACAGTAGTCAACTCTAGTTTTATGTAATTATTGTCAGTGAGGCTGATGTTCATGTCTGCAGTAACAGTCCAGAGGAATCCAAGAGAAGAAGGAGCTCAGGGCCTGAGGTGGACAATCATAGATGATGCGGCTAACACACTACAGTGTAAGGATGCTCAGAAAGTCTCAAAACTGAGGTGTTGATGAGTTCTAAACAAAAACACCATTTCTCCATCTGCTCACTTACACAAAAGTTTGCATGTTCACACATTTTCTCACACTGCCTTTAAATATCATGATTATCATACCTCTTTACAGTTTGTCCAAGACTGTTTTATGATGTCAGATTATAATCTTTACAAGTCTTACCTATGCTGATTTGAAATTGAAGAGCATTGTTTCATTTACATTTAGGATGCAGACATTACAAGTGTTTCTTCAGGGGCACATGAAATTATGTATTTTTCTGTGTTTGCCTTTTGTTTAGGGGCGGCACAGTGGTGTAGTGGTTAGCACTGTCGCCTCAGAGCAAGAAGGTCCTGGGTTCGAATCCGGATCAGGGTGTTTCTGTGTGGAGTTCGCATGTTCCCCCTGTGTCTGTGTGGGTTTACTCTGGGTACTCTGGTACGGTTTCCTCCCACATCCCAAAAACATGCAGAAGTGGGGTTAGGTTAATTGGCCACTTTCAAACTGCACGTAGATGTGAATATGAGCATGGATGGTTGTTCGTCTCTGTGTCAGTCCTGCAATGAACTGGTGACTTGTCCAAGGTGTCCCCTACCTTTGCCTCCCACCCCCCATATTTACAATATATATTTATTGTAAATATATATGATTTTGAGGCAACTTCTACCACTGACTTATGTTTTATGGCTCATTTGTTTGGACTTTGGCTCTGACTGCATTGATGAATTATGAGAATAAAGTCAATAAAAATCAGTATGAGGACCTGATAGTGAGATTCTATTGTCTTCCTGATCAGATTATCTCAGATTATACTCAGTGCAGTCCACATGGCCTGGCATAAAAATATTATTGCTGGTTTATGGCTGTAATAATAAATGTCCCAGATAGATATCCATCTCATTTAAAATCTAGTTTTAAAGGTTTTACATCTTGTGGCATTCATCTTTTCAAGCAAATGATACTAAAGGATTTTTTTTATGTCACATCCTCATTAACTTCTGTCTTTTTTTTATTTAAAATTCTTACAAATAATGTTTGAATTATTATTAGAGGAATAATTATGTTGTTTTCTGCATATTATGATAGATCTGTGAAACTCCATTACACATTCATAGTGAACAAAGGCAAACAGGGCCATCAAATATAGAAAAGGAAGGCACACTGAAATATTAATTAACACTGAATGTGTAATTTCTACCATCCAGTCAGGGAAACTTTGCACTTGCTATGTAAATAAAATAGTGACCAGCAAAGTGTGACATTAAAAATTCGCAGAGTGAGCTTAACTCATAACAGAGGAGATGCACAGCCGTATGTTTGCTTAGTGTAATAATGTGTTTTATACATGCAACATTTTTATGATTCTATCTGAATCTGTATGAAAACATACTCCTCTGAAAGGTCAGCGCTTTAGTCTATTTGCACTTTATATTCAGTGTTATGTGAGGTTTTTATTTTCATTAGTCTTCTTCATGCAACCACAGTTTCATTTTAGATTTTTCTCTCGTAACATATTTGTACCTGATGAAAAAAATATATTTATAAATATAAATATATTTCTATATCAAAACCATATGAGCCTCTTTTCCTAGGTATTTTCTCTCCTAGTTATCTATGTCCATCTTGTGGCCAGATGGGAGAACGACATCCTCTTAGTCCCAAGTGATGCTCTTCAGATACTGCAAATGCAACCATTAGAGACATATTATGTGAGACAACAGACAATTGAATTTCCCTCCGGAGATTAATAAAGTTCTTATTCTGATTCGCCCCGTCTGATGGTGTGGACGTGTGCATACTCCATGCGACAGTGGCTGTGCCGCTCCAGACACACAACAACAACAACAACAACAACAACAACAACAACAACAACAACAACAACAACAACAACAATAATAATGAGGATTATAATAACTGTATTTATATAGCACTTTAAAAAATATGTTTACAAAAGTGGTTTAACAGAAGAAGCAAATAAAGGCAGAAACAGACAAACGAAATTGACAGTTAAAAATGGATGGTTAAAGATTGGCGATTGATGGTTGACGCCATAGATATATATAAAGACTAGATGGATGATGGGACTTTTGCCCGCGTCGTCACCGAGCGGCCATCTTACCTAGGTGGACTCCTCCCGCGCACTCTACAGTAGTGGATGGAAGGTGAGCGACCTACACAAACAAAAATACACGTAACTCGCTGAAATCTTGACGGATTTAAAAACGTTTTGGTTTATTAAAAACCTTATTAACGTGGCTATGATTCAGGCCGCGTGGAAATGTTGAAAGTGCAGCTTTTCTTTTCGAAAATCGATTTCATTTTGTTGCATAGTTGTGTGTCTGTCACAGCCATTGATTTGCAAGGCTGCAATTTGGGAGTTTCAGTTATTACATACGTTTCCGTGAGACCAATAAGAAATTGTGACAACCACATATTTTGTATAAATGACGATTTTTGTGGATGTAGTTGTGTTTATTAACTAGCAAAGAAACAAGAGGTTGTGAATGTGACATAGTGGTCCACTGGGACTATTACAAAGTAGCCTAGACATAATTCTTTACAGGTGGGAAAGGCAGAATTACCCCTTTGTTTTAACATACATAATATGTTTCCAAGCTGTTTCATTCGTAAAATATATCCTTAATTTAGATTCATTGTGATACAGTAAATGCCTGGCTTTGTGTTTACAGAAATACCCCGACAGTCCAAGATGCCAGACTTTTGTGCTGCACATGGATGCTCAAATGAACGTTCTGTTCAAACAAGAGCCCGTGGAATCACCTTTCACTCGTAAGAAATGACTTGAGGGACATATTTAGGATAATTGTTACTAACTTAGTTAAATTTGTATTTGCACAATACACGTTATTTTCACCCTGACGTTTTAGAAATATTTCTACCATTTGTTTACATAATAATCATTGAATATTTATTTTTCACATTTTTTTTTACATGTTACTGTTATTGACTTATTTAAGTTTACATAATGACATTCAAGCATAGGCTTTATGAATTACCCCAACAGTATCATAATTTAGCTCTAGTTCTGTCCCTGTTTTTCAAATTAAGGCTGCACCATAATGCTTAAATGACTACGCTTAGCGTACAGAAAGACAATGTGAGACAATAGCTCACCAAAACAGTCCTTTTCAAGGGGCAGTAGCTCAAACTGTCCGTGCACTTGTATATATGTTGGTTTTGTTGCGACCGTATGAGTGACTGTTGATTTGGAGTGAATGTTGCATGGTTTAGTGTAGTGCTGGGCGATATGGAAAAAAATGTATATCACGATATGGATCATTTTATATCACGATATCGATATACCACGATATAGCTATGGTGTGCAGTGCCAGTACAAGACCAGCACTTAAAACTAGAAAAATGAATAAATAAATACGTGGCTGAAGTGCGTTCATGTCTGTGCTCACCCAAAGTTATGCAACACTCACAGAAAACGCCGATAGTGTGAGCCAAAGCACTCCATAATAATAATAATAATAATAATAATAATAATAATAATAATAATAATAATAAATTGAATTTGTAATGCACTTTACATTTACAAAAAATCTCAAAGTGCTACAGTACACAGTAAAAAAAGAGCAGCAACAATAAAAAAGCAATAGAATGACAGTCACAGATTGGCATAAAAAAAGCATAAAAGAATAAAAAAAATAAAGAATATAGAGTTGCAATGTAAGAGGCAAGGCAGTAAAAGCATAGAGGAAAGCTAACCAAAGGCTTTATTAAAAAGGTAGGTCTTTAGGGCTCTTTTGAAGAGGTTGTTCACACTGCTGGATGTTTCTCCTCCAAAGCTGCTCTCTGCCTCCGTCGCTGTTTACTTTACTCTTGAAGCACGTAGCAAGACCCGAGCATGAATCCGAGCGCTTTATTCGCCTATCAGGGGCAGACAGGTAAGGTGATTTGATTCGCCATGGCTCCAGAAATGATTGAAAAACTACAGAATGTCACAAAATTACGTTTCCTCGCTCCTGGCTTGAAGGGTAGAATTGCACAGCCGCGTTCCCAGCTGTAGTTCTTTTGTGTTGCTAGCGCGGTCAAGAGTGTTGGCTCCATAGACTGTATATAATATGGACAGTCTGCCTCCTCGCTGGGTGAAGCCACTCCGAGAACAGCACCCTCTGATGGTGGGCTGCAGTACAGGTCATAAATCCCGCCTCCGCCAGCAAAGCTTATGGGACTGTGGACAAACTTTAGAAATTTATTACACAGAACATAATTTTTTCTCCCCCCCTGGTTGTGATGTTGACATATAGTTACAGTAAGACTGGTTTGTGCCCAAGTCCTTTTTTTTCTGTACAGCTCCGTTTTTAAAAGTTATTAGGGGGTTCATGTTTTCTATGATTGACACCTGGTACAGCCTATGGGCGTTCAGGGATTGCGTAGCTCTTCCGGGGGAATACGTTGTTTGACCCGAGCGTCATCACAGGGACTCTCGGCGACTGCGCGGCCGAATGCGCACAACGCTACTGCACAGCTCTGGTTTCAAGGAAGTGGAGAAAAACCCGGAATTACAGAGAGCTTTTTGGCTTCAAATCCGTATACAGGCGGAAGGCGGAACCACGGTGTCCATCTTATATACAGTCTATGGTTGGCTCTCACTGAGAGATGACTACAAAAATGGACGCACCTGTTCATCTGGTTGTTTAACACGGCTGAAAATGATCATCTATTAATGTTGTTCCCGCTCCTGCCCACTCCCATTGCTTTTTTTTCCATCCCCATCAAGGGATTAATTAAAAAATGACTCCCATCCCGTGGGATTCCTGCGGGAATCACGTGACCAACGGGAATTCCCGAAAAATGTCATCCTCTACAGGGAAGGTCCCGGAGCAGATGAAACAGGTGCCGGAGCGGCTGAAATAGGTCCCGGATCCGATCAAAAGAGGTCCCGGAGCGGGCTCCGGCTTGCTCCGGCACAAATTAAGCACTGCTTACAATGATCCCCTCATGTGTGTAACCCAGGTAACCCACAATGGCGGGAGACGCTCGACACGAAGCGGGCATGTAAAGCGGCGTCATGTCCCAAAATCGAAAGAGAAATGCGAGCCTACATGTCAACGCATCCTTTTCTTTGTAAGAAAATATTGTTTTTTTTTCCCGTTTTTTTCTTTCCCGTTTGACATCAAATACACTTACTGAATGTGCAATTATTGTTGTTGTTACTATGAATCATCTGATGGCACAAGCCCTATGGATAAAATACAGCCTATCACTCGAAACGATAAAAATAGAAATGGCACGATAGACATTTTCTATCGTGCCCACGATATGTATTGTCCTATCGCCCAGCACTAGTTTAGTGTGACTGTTGGTTTGGAGTGAATGTTGAATTGTTTTGTAATTGTTCACATCTGTTTAATAAAAGAACCTTTATTTCATGTTACTGAATGTGTTTATTTTAATTTTTATATTAAAATATATGTAGCAGAACAGGTAAAATGAATGAACCATCCCCCTGATCTTTAAAACTATACACATGAGTTGTTATGTGACCCTAAAATAAGAACACAAACATTTCCAACAGGCCGTGGAATTTTTTACATTTGTGGTGTAATTATTTTTATGTTAAAGCAAATGGACCCAGGTCTAAACTTATACATCATGCATGTTAGTGATATTCAATGTATAGAACTATGTGAATCATTAAGCAAAATATCATTCTGAAGCATTAAATTAATTAGGTTTTATCAAAACGATGGCCATGGGGTAAGGTGGACCAAAAGCCTTGGGGTAAATTGAACCAATATGAATCACAATGTATATAATTTTTATTAGGTCTTTGCTACTGAAATTAGCAGAATGATCTTTTATTTTTGATAAATACACTCATTCAAGAGAAGTTTTCAATATTATATTAATAACTGCGAATATTAAAAGGTTCTGAAAAACAATTTTTAATTGGTTTTATATTGTTTAATAACCCAAAGAAAATAATTAAGACTATTTGAAAAAGGGAAATGTCTTATAAAAAAATTTTTCATCAGTAAATACATTATTTGTTAAAGTTTTAAGATTAAGTTTAAAATATCATGTGGGTCAACTTACCCCTTTATATTTAATTTATGTAATAAATAGAACTATAAAATATCTAACTATAAAATGTTTAATATAAAAAACACTGACAATTTAATTTCACTGTGTGTGTATGTGTGCAGCTATGGCAGGTATTGCTCCACTATCTCCTTTTTTAATTTAACATGAAAGTCCATGGTTATAATTTTCCTTAAATATGCAGAAACATAACTACATCTCTGGCGTTTATAACAAACCAATCCGTTTGAAAATCAGTTGAAATTTGAGCAGGATATGGTCATGAAACAGTACATGCACCAAAGACATTAACATTATCAGTGGGCCAGCAGCCCCTAGGTAAGATGGCCGCTGTGTGATGACGTCAGTCCCCATTGGCTCACAGCATAGGTAAGCTATCTAGTCTTTCTATATATCTATGGTTCACGGCATCACATCAGGAAGGTAAAAAAGATGAAAGTGGATAGAGGACAGATAAAAGAGAAAGAGAAATAAATACAGAGACAATAAAATAAGATAAGGTCAAATAAGAGTAATACTGAAAAGGGAGGGAGTATATTAAAATGAGAGAAAATGGTAAAAATAGGACAAATGATAATATAAACAACTGACATGGTTAAACAAGAGGGGTGCAGGCAATAAAATAAATAAATAAATCATGCATCATCAGATGTTACTGATTCAGCCTGCCTTGTTTTCTTGGGCAGGGTGTTCTCCAGTCAAGGAGCCCTGATAGAAAAGGCTCTATCATCTTTTGTCTCAAGCCTCAACTTTGGAACGGCCAGTAGACCCTTGCCCAAGGATCTAAGGCTGTGGGCTGGCACATAGTGAGTCAATAGGTTGGATATGTAGGTTGGGTCCAGACCCGTAAGGGCTTTAAGAGATCAGTTAAATCTTTGAATCGATTCGAAAGCAGACAAGAAGCCAGTGGAGAGAAGCGAGGACAGGAGTGATGTGATGCCATCTGTTAAAATCAGTTAAAAGCATAGCTGTTGAGAACTGGACTAGTTGGAGGCGGAAGAGTGATTTGATGGAGAGAAGATGAATGCATGGATGACCAGTTCTAAATCAGCAGGGGAAAGAATGGATTTGATTTTGGAAATGGAACTGAGCTAAAGAGTATAGTTTCTGACTTTGATTCATTTAACTGCAAGAAACTTCATATCTTATGACACTGGTTATCAACCACGTAAGTGGATCCAGCTTTGCTATGAGCGCGTGCACGCATGTAAGGCGGAGCCCATCACATCTGACCAATCGCGAACATGGACCAGTCTGGAGCGTCAGAGCAGGCCGGAGAGCGAAGGACCGCGGACTTTACAAACGAGGAGCAGGAGACGATCATGAGAGAGTATGAAGAATTCAAAGCTATCATAAACCTCAAAAACAACACTGTCGCCGCTGCAAAAGCACGGAAGGAATGCTGGCAGAGAATTAATCTTTGATGCCATTATCACCCTGAAATAGCACTGTTCAACGTGCGCTTTTAACTAAGGTGACCAGACATCCCCGATTTCCGGGAACAGTCCCCGAATTGGATGATCTGTCCCCGGCTAAAGCTGTCCCCGAAAATGTCCCCGATTCAAGCGTTTCATGAATGAGAACAAAAATGTTGCATGTGGGCTAGAACAACGGTTATTACAGCAGGTAGGAAGCACAAGTAAGCAGTCCTGGACAACAGTTTTTACTGAGGTTATTACAAGGGGCGTGCGCTGCTACTAAATAGTACCGAGATGTCGTCTGTGATCACATAGCCCATGCAGCCCATGTCCATTCATTTCCAAGATGAATTCATTCATTTGTTCATTCCTATCGTGTTTACATTTTTTGTGTGATATGTCGGCCATATGAGCCTTTCATAAAGGTGGTCATCCGGAAAAGTAAGTGGGTCCGTGCAGTCCCTGAAAACTCTTGCGTGCCGGAGTGCTCCTCGGACAATGCGAGCACTGAGGTCTATAGGATCCTCCAAGAACGGACAAGCCATTTTTCGAGGGGGCTCATTGGTCAGTGGGCAGGGTTTTTATACTCTGTGAGTTCAATCTGGAACCTAACCTGCCCCTTAGCAGGTTGGCCATTCAGTGTACATTGCCATGAAGACTCGCCTCGCTAAGAAGTGAACCCGCATAGAACCTGTAGAACAGGCCCCAGGGGCCTATTCTACGAAGCAGGATTACTGCTTAGCGAGGTAACTTCAAGGGTAAGTTCAAGGTTTCCTGTTCTACGACGCGGGTTCACGTCTTATCCTATAGACCTCGGTGCTCGCATTGTCCGAGGAGCACTCGGAGAGTTTTCAAGGACCACACTGACCCACCTACTTTTCCGGATGACCACCTTTATGAAAGGTACCGGTTTTCCAGGGAGGGGTTGGTGTACATCTGCCAGCTTTTAGAGCCATATGTGGCTTGCGACACTCGTAGACGCTGTGCGCTAACGGTCCCGCAGAGTGTGTGTATCGCCCTTCGCTTTTATGCATCGGGTACATTATATCTATATACTGTTGGCGACGCCGAAAAGCTGAGCAAAGCTACGGTGTGTGGCGCCATCCAGAGGGTGTCCGCAGCCCTCACTGAGCTCCTGGATGGGTTTGTTGCATTCCCAGGCCACTTGCCCATCCAGGAAATCAAAGAAGGCTTTTACACCATTGCAGGTAAGTCTGATCAATGGAATTATAAATTAAATAGGCCCATTAATGGATTACAGTGAAAAATAAAAAGCTTCCAGCCCACACTGTGTCATGACAGACACATTTCATTCAAAAAGTGTTAAAACAGGGTGAGCACACGTTTTGCGTGTTGCCTCATCAGATTCAGTTTTATAAATTATGGATCACAATCTTATATTGCTTTTCCAACCACACGCTGTTCACTCAAAGTGCTTTACCACGGTCCATTCATTCATACAATGCGAGATACTCTCTGTGGCATGTACACTGTTGTATTAAATGAAGTCAGCTCCTGTCACAGGATTCCCAAGGGTCATAGGTGCCATCAACTGCACTCACGTGCGCATCACTGGGCCTTTGGGGCAAAATGAGGGCGACTATGTCAATTGCAGGTCATACCACAGCCTCAACATTCAGGTAACTTGCATATGACATACATGCCATCTGCACATTGAGACACACACACGCACGCAGAGTCCCCAAAAATCTCCCCTGTGCCTGTGAGGTTTGCACCGATTGATATTTAAAGACTCATTGTTCAGTCACACCAGCTAAGTGCCTGCATGGACACTAACTACTGAAATGTCTTTTGCATCGCTACTCACAGGAAAGAGAGTGTCAAAGCTTAATCAAGGCAAGGCAAAAGCACATTGCTGCCTTTTATCTGCTGCTGTCATATTATGGTATTTTTTGCTGTTGCAGATGACCTGCGTTCACAATTGTCTGATCAAAAGCCTGGATGCAAAGAGGCCTGGCTCCGTTCATGACTCTCAGATCTTCCGGGAGTCTAGGCTCTGGATACAATCTTTTTTGTTCAACTAATCCTGATGCTCTGAAATTTTCACATTCACAAGAAAAAATGGACAGATACCAAACCAAACGCTGTACTCTTTGTTGTGAAACTGCAATGATACGCCTCCACAATTAAATACTGTAAAAACAAGAAAGCTGTCAGCACAAACCAGGTACTACAAAATTTCTGTATTCAGGTTCAGGTTCAGGTTACTTTATTAATACCCGAAGGTAGATTTGTTCTGCAGTGGAATAAAGTGATGATGTCCATTTACACAAGTTACAGTACAAATATAAAACAACCACAAAACAGAACACATGATAAAAGCACCCCACGGCTCCTCAGTCAGGACACAAGAGAGGGAGAAAAATGTCTATACATAAACAAGTGCAAATAAATAACCCAAATAAACAACCTCTGGATACAAACCAAGGTAAAAACAAGTCTAAAACCAACATAAATAAGTAAGTAAATAATACCTCTGCAGTATGTGCTTATTGTGCAAAATTATGTGCAAAATCTCTACAACTTGTTTACTTCAATAATAGCAGCAGGAACAAAGCTGTTTCTGTAACGTTTAGTTCTGCATTTGGGGACTAGAAACCTCCGCCCAGAGGGAAGAAGCTGGAACTCGCTGTGTAAAGGGTGGGAGTCGTCTTTTAGAATAGAGAAAGCTATCCGCTGTAACTGTTTGGTGTACAGGGATGCCGGAAAAAGCTGTGACTCACCAATCAGTCGAGAAGACCATTTAACTATTTGGTTTAAGGCGTTTCTCGCCTTCAAGGATGTGTGACCAAACCATGACACCAAGGAAAATGATAAAATAGATTCAATGAAAGCACGATAAAACATGGTCATTATAGTTTGGTCAATGTATTATAGATATAATGGAACACAGGACTCAGTTCAGTAGCACAAGATTTCACTTAACGACCACAGATATTGTCGGGGCCATGGCTTTTGTTAGTTTTTACAGAGCAGAAGGCCTTTTTGACATCCTGAAGGTCAATGTTGAAGTGCTGAGTGTCCTTAAGTTTATATCTCAGTTCCTGAACTTCTTAGCTAAAATCAAAGGCATCAAAACTGACAGTAAAAACACTTAAAAGCACTAGCAAGATCAGAATCTGAGTTGAAACCATCTAATGTAATGCGTGGTGATCTCATTTAATTAAGTATCTGTAATCTAAATCCACACAGTTAAACCCTGGCAATAATAATGGTTATAATATTGTGTTTGTGCATGTTATTGTGCTGCTTTGTTTTTGACATGACGTCACTAAACACTCAACACTGACTTGAAGTGATATTGTGAGATACCGCAAGAAACAAACTAATGTGTGGGCATAAAGGTGGAGCAAACTGCTCAGGATCACCTGGGTTACAAGTGCAATTTCAATATCTCTGAAGTTATCAACGATAGCACCAGAGTCCTTTAAACGCGGTCCTGAATCAGCAGTCTCTGGCTCACCAAACACATCCTGTTGTAAGGTAGGGAGGGAAAAGGAAGGCTATAAAAGTAGTACAAATATTCTTCTTACACTCCAGATATACAAGGGGTAGAAGAAAAGTTAATATTTGAAGCATCAGATATCGGAAGCAGCACAAGATTAGCTCTTTTTGGCGCCTATTATTTATCACGCAGGGGGGTGTGGGGTGTTAATTCTGTTGTTTAATCAATGGTCAGTGTTATTAACCCTCTTACTCTGGGTCTTGCCTTTTGCATGTACAAGGTCAGCAAATACAGAAAATGACCCTTTGGTGGTGCCAAACTGGCACCAAACAGAGGATGCCAAAGTTGACACAACCCACACAGGAGTCCTAATCAACTCACATAAATAACAACTAAAAGAAGTAAATATGAACATAAACTGCTCTGGTAAATGGTTTCCCTTTTTTGCAGCTCTTCAGCTCTCTGTATTGTCCTTAAAGCAGAGCAATATGTGACAAAAACCCATTACCACTGCTTGGCAAATGACCTTGAGCTCTTATTTATTGTTTTTGAACATGTAAACATACAAGACAGTGACTCTTAAACAATCACGTACAAGACAAGGTTTCAACCAATAAAATATAAAATACTATATTTATCTTTATACTGTTTACCCAAACAGATGAACATTGCAAGTTTGCAAAAGCCGGAATGCTTGAGAACATCGATATTCTTCTATATATATGTATATATATATGTATATATATATGTATATGTATGTATGTATGTATGTATGTATGTATGTATATATATATATATGTATATATATATATATATATATATATATATATATATATATATATATATATATATATATATATACATATATATATATTTATACATATATAAGTATATATAAGGTAGATTTTCAATACATGTACTCAGTATGGACCCATTCATCAATTGATTCTTCTTTGCGCTTCTGTGGCACAATGCACATAACTTCGGGAATCAAGTTCAAGAAGTCAGACAGATTGTTAGTCAGATGAGGTCAGCTCTGCAGCATTTTAGTTTGAATGTTACAAGTCATAGAACAGTGCTCATTGTTTACACCCGTTAGTACATAAGTTATTGGCATGAATATGTGTTATCTACAAGACTGGAGCATTAAAATACTACTATACTGTATTAAGAGGAGCTGGTCACTCTTTCACACTGCTTCTCAGACCCACAACAACCCCACTGCTGCAGCTAGAGATGCGCCAAAACAGCCACTGGTGCGCGCTGACATACTAGGTTACTCCACTTTAGATTTACTGATTTCTCTTTTCGGGGGAATACCATGGCACAACATAAGAAAAGAGAATGAAGGGAATAAAAAATCCTCGCCACTGTGGCAGAAAAAGGCAGTTGCTTAGTCAGTCAGTCAGTCTAGGCTGTTCAATAGAGGAACATGTGTTAAGCTGACTTAACAAGCATTGAAATCCTCCCTGGCTGTCACCAGAATTACTTGTATGACAAACCACTAGTTTGATAGTAGTCTTAGTCATCTCTCAGCTGTAAACAAGCAGAGGAGCAATGGCAGCACGAAGCATGGCACGGTTTGGCGGTTGTTCATCTAGAAAAAAAGGTGAATGTTGGCTGTTTTCTGGTTAAATAACCGCAGTAGAGTATAACCCCTGCAAAAGAGCAATGTGTAGCCATGTAAATGGATGTTAATCTGCAAGTAGAACCAAAGGCTAATGGTGCAAGCTCTGGTTACCAGCAGTTCAGCTTGCAGCCTCATCAAAAGCACGAGGGGACACTGAGTTGATTTCAAGCTAACCAACTGCGTGACCCTAAAACAAGCTAATGGCAGTTCAGTTGCAGCCTAACCTGACATTATGTGCCCTCTGGAGAAAGGCATGGGAGAAATTTTGATTTTCTTTTAGCACGGAACCACTTTATACAGAGAATAATTAACAAGTAGTCCTGCAAATTTTGAGAACACAGTGGACAACTAAGCTCTTGGCTAAAATCTTGTGACCATTGAACACTGACCGGTCATTTTGGATAGGAATAGGATAGGATAAAAGAGATCCAGATCCAGCATGCAGAGCCCACAAAATTACAGTAACAGTGTGTACTAAGGTACTGACAAAGTAGCAAGGAGTAGGAGTGATGTTGGCCTTGTGGCAGTATTTTTTGTTGAAGTCTATAAAAAACGTTGCAGCTGAGTGCAAAACTTGTCATGCATAATTTTGTGCCAATATCAGATCAATATCGGTATCGGCCAAAAGGCTACAATCTTGGTATCGTATCAGAAGTCAAAAAGTTGTATTGGGACACCCCTAATTTTGGGACTCAATTTATGAGGTTTAAAACCTGCAATGCAGTGGTTGCAGTTGGTGTTTAACTTAACAAAAAGTGAAACTTCTCTCAACTTCAGTTCCAAAGCTATCCACTTTCAAGGGGACAAAAGAGATGCTGCCATAAGCTTACACTGCATGTGTCGGCACTCTCAAAGATAGAGGTTGACAAGTTTTTGGCCATAGCTGTGATTTCAAAGAGAGACAATCAAACTTTCAGAGCACATTTAACCTGCATTAATACTTAACCATGATTGTTAAATTCCATAAAACACAGGAAGAGATGTTGATATCCTGTGCAAGCACATGCAAATAACTCGTGGACTTGTTGGTGAATGGTGGATGGTAGACTTGAAGGAGATTTGCAGGAAGAATTGAATTTACGGGATGAATCATCAGTAGTGTTCCACTGGCTCATGGGGTGTTTCAGCCTTTGACACCATACACCCTCACCAGAGGCGACCAGCTGCAGGGTGATCAGACCTCAGCTTGCGTCCCGAGCCCAATTAGCCATGAGAGTCGCCTTGTTAACAAGTGGCGGACATCTCAGGGGACTAGTGCTGCAACTAACGATAATTTTTTTTGTCGACTAATCTATCGACTAGTCGTCCGATTAATCACTATCTTCTTTATTTATAAACACCTATTTCCGGGGTATCGGCGTTTCAGGTGCTCATGCAGCGCTGTGGTGCTGCCATGGTAGGAAAGCTGATCTTTGATCAACGTGTTTTTTTGGTTTGTTCTCTGTAAAATGTTCCCAAACTTTTGAAGTTTTGGGTCGGAGTTTTGGAGCGTCTTTTTCCGTTTGTTCTGCCATAATGTGTGCACTCTTCTTCTGTGTTTGCTCACGGGATGTAAACAGCGAGCGCTACTGCCCCCAGCACATCCTGTAGTGCACTGCAGTTATAGATGAGCATGAGGCGCTGGCATGTGATTCTTAACAACAATAACACGACGCGTCAACGCTTCGTTTTCGTGTCGATGAATTTGTCGTGTCGACATAATCGATTATGTCGACTAATCGTTGCAGCCCTACAGGGGACTATGCATGACAGGGGTGTCCGGTTCCCTGAGTCAAGCCTAAGCCGACCGCATACCTCCAGATAAGGGAATAAATAAGGGAATTGGTTTGAATGGAATTGTTGGGAATTCATAGAATAGTCTTACAAATGGTGATAAAATCTCGACTGTGATTCTGCCTTAACAGACACAAAAATGATATTCTTGCCCACCTTTTCATTGAAGCATCTCCAGCTGCAGGATAGTTACTCTTTCAGACCATAAGGCATGACCGAGCCATAACTCTTCATTACTTTGTGGATTCAGGTCCAGACCTCAACAGTCAAAGTAAAAGGCAGTGTCAGAATAAAACACACACTATGGTCCCCTCACTGCCCTGTTTGCTAAATCCTACTGAGGTAGACAGATGCATACTGCAGTAGTCTCCTTTCCAACCCTAACACTCCCCGATGAGGAAACATTAATCTACACCAAACAAGCAGCAGAAACCTTTGTAGTGCACATTAGCTGAAAATAATAATACATACTTCTGAGGGGTCGCAGCTCTGTGATACTTAGCTACCATTTCCATAATTCTGCACGATACATTCACCATACAGTGCAAAGTCATTCATTGAAGTCTCATTAAGGATCACATGATGATTCAGTTCAACAGAGCTGAAAAGGCTCGAGCAGTGACAGACATCCATCCATGCAGCAGACAGAGTTTATCATCTCACATGTTGCTCTCTGGCTGTCACACATATACCTCAGTAAAAATCTTAACACTCAGTGCAGTTTACAGTGATTCTTTGTTGTTGTATTTCAAAGGATATCCGACAGCAGTCTCCAGACACTCCACCAGGGAGCCTGCAGAGAGGAAGTCCAGCTCCACCTCGATGAATTTGATGTATATAGCGAAACGTTGAGATGACTCGTCACCTTCTTCACCGTCTCGACTCATGCTGCAGTTCTCCTGCAGGAAACAGGTCACAGCTGAGGGTTCACCGTGGATGTAGAGTTTACTAGAGCCCTGAAATTGCTGGAAGACACACTGTTGAATGGTCCTGTCCTCCGCTATCCCCAGGTAACAATAAGTGACCGTAGCTCCAGTTCTGTCCCCTCTACCCGCAGTGTCCCCATCAGCCGAACACTGCACTCCATTTTCTGACTTGCCCTGAGGTAATTGAAATTCTCCACCATCACTCTGAGTGGGTGTCTGAGTGCCGTCTTCCTGTTTCTTGTAGCCAATAGCATAGAGTCCGTATGTCTTTGGGATGTCCCCAGGGAGGAGGTAGTGAAATGTCCCTTTGATGCAGCCTGTGGCCTTGGACAGGGACACAGGAATCCAGTCCACCTCCATATGAAGCTCCAGGCAGCGTGCCTCACTGATGGTGATGTCCAGGAACTTGTAGTAAACGTTTTTCCAGTTCATCTTCTGGACCTTGGTCATGATGATGCGGCCCTCAGGTTTCTCTGGATTGAAGTACTCACGGAGTCTCTTTCCCAAAGGAACCTGCGAGCTGATCTCAGCGTAGTGGTACCGCACATCCTCTCGCCAGCGCGTGTTATAGCCCACACCAAAAATGGCCAGTTTGTTTGAGAGATGCAGCCGAGAGAATTCAGTCCATGTCTGGAAATGCTCCCATTTCAGCTGCACCGACTCCAGGATCTGCACCACAGTCTGCATCATGTCCCTTTTTCTGTAAAGGACACAAGTCACATGATAATTACATACTTTAACAACATTCACATTCAAAAAGAGAATCAGTGGCACCTTTGCTACCTGGTTTTAGGGGGAAATGTGGCTTATTACTCTATCTGTTGCATTTTCAAGATTGGCTAATACACCTTCATACAGCTTAAACACTGATAACTGCAGAGGGGCTGTAATAAAGATTTTTAAGAAGTAACGTTGACATTCCCAATTTCAGCCAGGAACACTTTTTGAAAATTATTCGTATTTGGTGGCGTGGCTTAGTTCTGAGAGATCCCTGCCCCTCTAAATGTAAAGTCCTGAGGAAGGGAGAGCAGCAGCAAAGACTTTCTTTGTACAGCACACAACTGACATCAGTGGCAAAAGATGTTGGGGGTAGCGCATCATGAAAGTCCCTTTCAGACAAGCACAAAACTCCTACAAATTTCCTGAAATTACAGTTCACAGCTGCTCAGATTGATTTGCTTTACTGTCCTCTTGTCATGCAGGTTATTGAAGAGCCTAAAGTTACAGAGGAAACAAGATAATTATTCGATGAGTATCAACAATGTTATGAATAAATAAGCAACAGAATATTTTGTTCTTATTTGTCACAGTCTTAATAATGTGAAGATTACTTGGTCAGTTGTTCTGGATAACTTACTGTGTCTGTTCGGTCAGCTCAGCCTGCATCTGCAGCACTCTGTGTTTAGGCAACTGGATATCTTCTAGCAGAAAAACAAACCCAGGCATTAGGTCAAACCTGTTCATTCCTGTGTCTTTCACTGCCCTGTATTCAGTGAAGGCCCATGAACTCACCAGTCTCCATGTCCCCCTCTTGGAAGGCTGAATCCAGCACCTGGTTGCACCAGTCCTCCTGAGAGAAGTCCTCCAGCGTGCTGCCATCAGACTCCATCTCTTGATAGAGCCCGCTGCTGTTTATGAGAACGGGGGCACAGCTCTGGGAGTCCCAGCCTCCCTGACCGAACACTTTCTCCAGCTGCTCGATGGTGTAGCTGCTCTTCCTCTTCCCAATGCCATGCTCCTTCACCCGGCTGTAGCAGCGCCGCAGAGTCTGGAGGAGGGGGTTGGGGGGGGTGAATAAACCAGATGTTGTTTTAGTAACTGCTGTAAACTTTGTTAGGAGGGTAATGCTGACTGATAAAGGTGAGAGATATAAAGTCAGGTGGTTTTGGACATATTTTCTTTTTTAGATTTCAAATGTTTCAGACTCAAATTTAGGAGATTTTCTTTCCCTTTTTTCTCAGTAGAAAATAGGAGAAAGATTTTAACTTGTTTTTGCTTTAAACAAAACCCCAAATTTAATGACAAAATGTGAAATACAAAAGAATCTCATTGCCATTGCTCCTAATAATATAGCTGACCTGAAGAAAACAAGCATGAAGTAATCAAGAATGATCATAAAGAAGCAAAAAAAATGTATCTGGTCCTGTCTTTTTCTTTTACTAGTTCATCCTGTACAAACAAATATTCCCTCCATTGTATCTTTGCCCATTAATTATTACCCCAACCCCCTCAGGATGGGGGATAGGGGTTATCGCTGCTGAATGTTCCTGTAGTAAATAAAACATTATAAAATGCCCTTTCAGGTGCTTCTACAGTGTAAAAGTATGAAAAATTGCAGCAATAGCTGCTCTTGTGAAGAGTGTCTTGTGGGCGTCCTTCCTGTAGGAATAAACATGACAATGTGCCATTTTAACTATTTTCGCCAATGAGATATGGAATGAGGGTCATCTGCTCTTCTAATAGTTCACGCTGACTGCGATCAGTACGAGTGGTGACAGCGGACGCTTTTCCACATTAAAGGAAATATTTGTAATATATCTTTGTTAACACCAAGTGTTTTGTTTCTACTTATTTGAAGCGTGGATCATAGTCGTGGAGACGTCCACACAAACATTGAATACAACCAACAAGCGAGGTGTACAGGCTGTGTTAATTACATTGAATATCAACTGAACGAATGATACACGGATTCACTGCCCCTATCATCCAGAAGGGGCCAGAACGAGTGGGGTCCGTGACGTCACTTTCCGGCGCCACTTGAGATTGCGAATCAGATTGAATTATGAGACACTTTTTGCGGGGCGAACACGAAAACGGAAAAGCATTTCTAAGTTTGCTTTTGCTTTTTAATTTAGTCACAAAATGAGCAGTCTTGAAGAAAAAAATGAAAATGCATTTTGGAATATTGCTTTTGATTTTTATTTTTGAGTCAAACAGTGCAGCCATGACTTTGAAATGAAAAAGCATTTCTGCTAATGCTTTTGAATTTGAGATATGAGTCACAATTGCTTCCATACTCTTGAAACCCGACATGATTAAGTATCATTACAGCTCTTTTTTGCAATGTGCATATCTTATGCTGGTTTCTTTAATAGGTGTTCCTCCAAACTTCCCTGTTTTCATATCTGAATAATGAGACAGTGAGGACAAACACTACAAGTCATAAGTGTAAACATGATTAGAAAATGTTCTTGTATGGTCCAAACTTGTGATTCTACATCCATGGTAGTGTCGTAAATATATGTTAATGTGTCAAAGCAGTACAGTGCATATCCTCCTGAGACCCAGCAATTCTCTTATGAGCACTGTAGGGCACGTTGAGGTTTTGCTTGCATCTCTCACACAATAAATGCCACTCTGTTAAGTCCTGATAATAATGCATCAGTTTTTCATATAGCGCTTTATCAGAGACCCTCAAAGCGCTTTACATTGGATACATCATTCATTCGCTCACACAATCACACTTTGGTGTTCCTGAAAGAGGACAGCCACAGCTTTAAAATGCTATGACATGCTTGGGGGTGTGGTCTTGGCAACTACTCTTTTCCTGTATTTCAAAATGGCTGGTATTCCCACAAACACATTTTATGAAAAACAGAAAGGTAACCATGATATTTATATTTAAAATGTTTTTTTTGTTGTTGTTATATTTGGATTAATTTTCCAATATAAACATCTAATAAGAAATCTGAGTGAGTTTCAGAGCTAAGCTCATTTAGTTTTACAGGGAAAATGACCAATTTATTAATAGTGCACATCAGGACTTTGTACTTCAGTTTATTTCACTTTTTTCTAGTGGACAGGTCTTTGACAGAGGCAGGGAGGATTCTTTTCAGAATAATTGAGGGAGACTTATCAACACCTTCATAAAAATCTGTGTACATGGCATGTCTAGGCTATCCAAGAATGTATTGGGCTGCTAAAACAAGGGTCCCAGTTACAGCTGATTCCATGACCTGTGATCGTTTCTACAAGATCAGGTCTTCACTAAAAGGCCTGAAATGGTCAACAGTCCAAGTCCTTTCAGGTGCAGAATACCTGGGCTCAACAGTGAAACATATGTGAGATGTGTGAAGTGCCAGATTTCCCTCTGTGTCCCCAAAAAAATCCTAGTGCTTTCTCAGGTATGATAAATGAAGCGACTTTTGGCAAATAGAAAGCCCGGTGTCTAGTGGAAAGTCAGTTAGTTCTAAGTTGACCCAGGACCAACTTTTCTTGTTGGTCCTGGGTCAACTGTTTTTATGTGAATATGTTCAATGTGTTTTCATATACAACTTAAAAAAAGATTTCAGGTGAGATTTCAATTTTCATAATCAGTTTATGGATTTTGTTAAAGTGTCAGACATTCGATCAATGAAATCCTATTGAGTACTGAGGTGCACATGTTGTTGATTTTAAATAAAATTAGTTAAAAACAAAAAAGTCTTTGCTATGTGTTTTTTTAACCACCCCAACTCTTGATTTATCTGAAAAAATTCAAAATCAAAACACTTTTTCCCCCTGGGTCTCAGAGGATATGAAAATGTGACTGGACAGAAGGCATGCCTATAAAATCCTACAGTGAAATGAGCCTGCAGCCTCTCCAGCCCAGTGTCAGTGTTACCGGTACAAGTCCTGCAAGTAGAGGATGTAACATGGAAAGGTCAGATGTCGGTCCTGACAGCCTGGTTTACCTTCATCCGCTCCCTGCACTGGGACGGGGTCCTCTCGTACCCCAGCTCGGACAAGGCTCTGGACACCCGCTCGTACATGGCAGGACCGGGGGCCTTACCAGAGAAGACGGTGCCTGCCACCTCCAGCTGCTGCATCCGCGCCTCCGTCAGCCGCTCGTTGCCCCACACCGCGATGAGGGCGTTAGTCTCGGACGGGGTCCACGACATCCCCCGACACGCCGTGAAGCTGTTGGAGGAGGATGAGGCCGCCGTCCGGCCCGCAGACCCGGAGCCCACGTTCAGAGGTGAGAAGCGGTTTGGGGTGGAGGGATTGGAGTGGTATTGATTGCTGTCGCTCAAATCCTCGGACTCAGGGGACGGCACCTCGGTTTTCGGGATCTTAAGCGGCGCCGTTATCTCTGGAGAATGCTCCGCGGTGCTGGACGCCGCCATGTTGGTTCTGTTGCTAAGGGGAGGGGATTGAAGGTGACGTACGGAGTTTTAAACCAGAGGCACAGAGAAAATACGGCGTGGATCTGATGGGTGATGCTGCTGTGGGGGAGGATGCTGGAAGACTTGAAAACATCCAAAGAAACATTAGCGATAAACAGACAAACAAAAGCTGATCCAGTTTAGTTTAGTTTATTAAGAATCCTCATTAGTCTACACCGCAGTGGAGACTATTCTTCCTAGGGTCCAGGCAAAAACATCACAAAATCACAAAACAAATCATACAATACAGTACAGCATGATCAATAATAAAATTCTGTAATACAAAAATAGCAACAACAATCAATAAAAAAACAATAACTTGGAGTTTACACAATAATGTTCGTACCAAAGATAAAAAGAGCAATATAAAAATATATATATATTTTTAGCAAAAATGAAACAAAGAACCAATGTCCTACAATATACACATTGGTGTACCAAAGACAAACACTATTCTCAGTGACGAAAAAGTACCATAATGAATAAAATATGACATAAAGTACATACAGGTCAAGATAATATCAATATAAAAACGATAACCAAAAAACAAAAATGAATTTAAGCAAAAATAAGTCAGAAGAAGATACATGAACCAGTCCTGACATTAGGTACAATCTAGAATAATCTCTTTACGCAAAATTTTTCCTTTCAGTCTATTCTTAAAACCCACTCTGCTGGTGATTGATATCAGATGTTGTGGAAGTCGATTCCAGTAGGTGATTGCTCCATACATAACAGTCTTTTTCAAAGTATCAGTTTTGGGTTTAAGGTGGATGAAAGCACCTCTCAGGGCTAGCCCGGTACCATAGTTGTGACTGTCACTAGCAAGCAAGAGCTGAGAATACAGATAAGCAGGTTTATGGTATGCATAGATGTTTTTAAAGAATAGAATCAAACTACAAGCTAGTCTTTCACCAACTCTCATCCAGTCTGAGAGATTTAACTAGAAAATTGGAAAGGGACAGGGGTACAACCCCAGTTGAAGGGGTCCCTTAGCCCCTTTTCTCCCACTGTTAAAACTGTTAAAACAGTGGGAGAAAAACGAATTAATACCAGAGACGGAAGTTAATATAGAATTATTTATCACCCACTGAAGAAAATCAGCTAGGCAGCTTATTTTGTATGGAAGCGAGTGTGGTCAATCGGGCTCCATCTCCCCTCTCCTCCATCACTGAATATATGTGTCTAAACTCATTTGTTACTTGAGTTTTGGCTAATAAGTTATTAGTCACATATTTACAGGCCAGGATGCCCTCCACTGATTTTCAGTATAAAGTTGCACATACACATTCATTCCCACTTCATGAAAAAACAGCAGCTTGCCAAGGTAAGACAAAAATGCATTATTCATTAATAGCCAGCAGGTGGCAGCAAATGGCCAAGTCCCTGTAACAGGCATGCGACATAAAGTGCAAAGCATGCAGTCTCAGTAAATCACACTTTATCAAAACTCAGCTATGAACAAGAAAAACGCACTGAAGTCACAGAATATAATGCTGTTTAACAGGATGTGTGAGAGTCTAAGAGCTTGGACATATTCAGCTGAAAGTTAAACTTTATTTCCAACATTTGGACTACATTTTTTGTGTGTATATTTGAAAACTAGAAAATTCCCTGTGGGAAATGTTTTTTTTAGTTTTTTTTTACTAATATTTTTCAAAGAAAAAAAAACACACGTACACTACTTAAACAACATGAATCAACAAACATCACATAAGACACTACAACATATAATAAAAGACAAAAGACAATATGCTGTGTGTGTGTCTGTGTGTGGTGGTGGTGGTTGTAGCAGTTTATGTCCAGAAAATCAATATAAAATATGTTCCAAATAATGTCTTATAAAGTTCCAGGGTCATTCATCTCCACAGTCAAAATCAGAGAGGGCTGTGCCTGCCCGTTCCATTGACAATAAATCCATAAATCCTTTTAACCATAGACTGTATATAAGATGGACACTGTGGTTCCGCCTTCCGCCTGTATACGGATTTGAAGCCAAAAAGCTCTCGGTAATTCCGGGTTCCTTGAAACCAGAGCTGTGCAGTAGCGTTGTGCGCATTCGGCTGCGCAGTCGCCGAGAGTCCCTGTGATGACGCTCGGGTCAAACAGTGTATTCCCCCGGAAGAGCTACGCAATCCCTGAATGCCCATAGGCTATACCAGGTGTCAATCATAGAAAACATGAACCCCCTAATAACTTTTAAAAACGGAGCTGTACAGAAAAAAAAGGACTTGGGCACAAACCAGTCTTACCGTAACTATAAGACAACATCACAAGCAGGGGGGAGAAAAATTTATGTTCATATTATAATTTGTCTCCATATTATATGTGATTTTTGTAATTTTTGTTAGATTTTTTTCAGATTTTTGTTGTAATTTTGTTGGCTGCTGATGGATACTTCTGCTGGGTGAAGAGTTTACTCAAGAGAAGAGCTGCTTTCATTGAGGAAAAGCAAATCTGGACAACAACATACAATTCCAGAGGACACAAGGAGGTGTTATCGTGGTTGCTGTGCTGGTGCAAAGGTAAAGGCAAAGCTGAATGCTAGGAGGTGGCGATATAAACCCTTTTTATCCATCAATCATCATGGGAAGCGTCAACTCTCTGCCCAACAAAAGCGATGAGCTGGAGATATTGGTGAACACTGAGAAAGCATACCGTGAGTGCAGTTTCCTGTGTTTTACTGAAACCTGGTTGAATCAAAACAACTCGGACTCCATTGTGGATCTACCTGGCGTCACTCTCATAATTCAAATTCAAATTTATTTTATTTGTATCGCACTTTTCATACATAGGAGTAGCACAAAGTGCTTTACAGAATGATAAGATAAAAATAAGAATAAAAACCCCTCCCTCCCACGCCCACACACAGATACACGATCACTTGCACACGCACACCCACCTACCCACACACAAACATACACACACAGGACAGTGCTTGGTTGTTTTGTTTTGCATTTCGTCATTTCGTCATGGCTTTGTACCGAGGGTCCCGGTGAGGAAGAACGCATGAGGAGACACTGGAGCGAGGAACTAAAAGATTTAAACACATAAAATAATGTTTTAAATAAAATCAGTTAAACGCTAGGAAGTAAAAGATTAAAACAAATAAAATAATATTTTAAATAAAATCAGTTAAACGCTAGGAACTAAAAGATTAAAACGCATAAAATAATATTTTAAATAAAATCAGTTAAACGCTAGAATCTAAAAGATTAAAACAAATAAAAATAATGTTTTAAGTAAAATCAGTTAAACGCCAGACTAAAAAGGTGTGTCTTTAGCCTCTTTTTAAAAATATCAACAGTCTCTACGGCCCTGAGGGTCTCTGGCAGGCTGTTCCACCGGTAAGGGCCATAGTGGCTCAAGGCAGCCTCACCGTCTTTGTCGCGGTTCGTGGGACAGTTAAAAGGCCAGTACCAGAGGACCTCAGGGTCCGCGAGGGTCCGGGCGGACTCTGGCTATATTCTTGAGATGGTAAAAATCTATCTTCGTGATGTTCTTAATGTGGGGAATAAAAGTGAGCTCAGAGTCAAAACTAACGTCCAGGTTCTTAACACATTGTGAGGGTTTAAAATCTTGTAGTTTTGGTAAAAGTTTCTCTCTCAGGCCTTCAGGACCAATGACTAAAACCTCTGTTTTATTCTGGTTGAGTTGGAGGAAATTATCTGCCATCCATGACTTAATATCTGAAATGCAGTTAAAAAGGGCATCAACTGGCTCTGTGTCATCAGAAGACACAGCAATGTACAACTGCGTATCATCAGCGTAACTATGGAAACTGATGCCGTGCCTCCTGATGATGAAGGAAGTATGTAAAGATTAAAAAGAAGTGGGCCTAAAATTGACCCTTGGGGGACCCCACACTTAATTTTATGTGTTCTGGAGGAACATGTATCCATATTTACAAAGAAAGATCGATCCATGAGATAGGAGTGGAACCATTTAAAAACGGTACCAGTGAGGCCAGCCAAATGCAGAAAGACCAAGACTGTTAGTTTTTTGGTATCTAAATTACATCTGGTGTCATTTAAAATCTTCAAAAGAGCCGTCTCGGTGCTGTGGTTCATCCTAAAGCCAGATTGAAATTTCTCAGAAATATTGTTTTTAGTTAAAAAATAATTCACTTGGTTAAAAACTACCTTGTCTAAGATTTTACTTAAAAATGGTAGATTAGATACAGGCCTGTAGTTGTTAAAAACATTGTGGTCTAGATTGCTCTTCTTCAGAAGGGGCTTCACCACCGCCATTTTATAGGCAGTGGGGAAGACACCCGTCTGAAGAGAGCAATTCAATATATTTAAAATCTGTTCCTCGAAGAATTCATAAAATGTCTTTAAAAGCGATGTGGGAATTGGATCTAAAAGGCAGGTTGTGGGGTTTACCTGGGAGAATACTTGACCAAGGGCCTTCGCATCAACCAGACTAAAACTCTCCAGTGTCTCCACGGGTAAAAGCAGTGATCCAGGTGTATTAAGAACAGCATTCTGATGAGATAAAACACTGGATCTGATGGTATCAATCTTGCTTCTGAAGTGGTCTGCAAAGTCCTCACAGAGGGTCACTGTAGGTGTCATGGACACATTAGAATCGGTGCTGGTTAAAAGATTAAAAGTGGAAAAGAGAAACCTCGGGTTGTTTTTATTGTCAGTAATGAGTTTTGAAAAATGATTTCTTCTGGACAATTTCATTGCGTTATTGCAGGTTTTTAGTTGATCCCGGTATATTTCATAGTGGACTGTTAATTTGGTTTTTCTCCACCTTCTCTCTGCACTCCTGCATTTTCTCTTCAGTTGCTTGATGTTGCCATCTCTCCACGGTTGTGTTTTCTTAGTTCTTACAGTTTTAGTTAAAAGTGGAGCCACTGCATCTAGTGATGTCTTTAATTTGTTGTTAAAATCATTGACAATAAAATCACAAGGTGGAGGTAAAATTTCCGCAGGAGTGTTCTGTAAAATCTCTATAAAATTTGCAGCCACTTCAGAAGTAAGGAAGCTTTTCCTCACCGTTCTCACTGAGGCCTCTCGATGGCTAAAACTGGTGATATTAAAAAACACGCAGTAGTGGTCAGACACCGCTAGGTCAACAACAGAGGACACACCAGTGGACAGGCCATAACTTATGACCAGGTCCAGAGTGTGTCCTCTGTTGTGAGTTGGCTGGGCAACGTGTTGGTTAAAATCCATGCAATCTAAAATATTTAAAAATTCTCTGGACATTGTCCTTTATGGATCGTGATTTCTCAAGGCAGCCATCGCACATGTGTGGAGAGGTGAGTGGAGACATTGTGGTGGCGGGCATCTTGCTCAGTCTGGCGGCCATAAGGTCAGACAGAGATGCTCAAGCTAGTAGCAAGAAGAAAGGAGGAGGTCTGGCTTTATTTGTCAACCAGAGATGGTGTAACCCTTCACACATAACTGTCAAGATGAAGTTATGTTGTCCAGATATTGAACTGTTGGCAGTTGCTCTTCGGCCATATTATGTTCCAAGAGAATTTAGTCATATCATAACAGTAGTTGTTTACATTCCACCCAAATCAACTGAAGAAATTCCATGCAATGTTCTGCAAAATAGTGTTGCCAGGCTACAGACTCAACACCCAGAGGCACCAATAATAATATCAGGAGACTTCAACCATGTCACCCTCTCCTCTCACCTGACTGGATTCACACAGTTTGTGAACTGTCCTACTAGAGAAAACAAGTGTGGAGAGGAATCAGTACCATCTCTGGACACAGCAATAAAAAGAAAAGACAGCCAGTGGTGGGTGATCTGGAAAGAGCTGATGAACTCAACCTGTTCTTCAACAGATTTGACACTGCTGTCACACCCACTTCCACTGCTACTCCACCTTCCTCTCTGCAACAAATCTCCACTACAACTTCTCTCGTTCCTCCTCCATCTCATTCAAATGTCTCAACCACTTCAACTGCCTCCCTCCTAGAACACCAGTCCTTGTCTGTCACCAAAACAGGGGTGAGGGTGGAGCTTGGAAGACTTTGCCCTGCAAAGGCAGCTGGTCCAGATGGTGTGTGTCCAAGGTTGCTTAGAGACTGTGCTGCAGAACTGTGTCAACTTCTCCACAAGATCTTCAACCTGGGTCTACAGCTGGGTGGGGACCTACTATGTGGAAAACATTCTGCATTGTGCCAGTACCAAAAACAAAATGTGCGCTGTTGCATCCCTTGACATCATCCCTTATCTTTTTCAGGAGGTGTGGACCATTTCAATCAAAAATGTCTTTCATAAGAGTCCTTATGTTTAACCCAGGATATCTCATTCCATTTGGTTTCCACTGAAAAGGGGCAGGACCCAGGTGAGAAGAGAAGGTTAGGTGGTTGAAAGGAATGGCTTCACTCTTGTTGTAATTTACTGTATAACCAGAGAACCTTCCATATGCATCAATTATTTTCATCACCTGCAGAATTGACTGACTTGGATGTGATACTGTTGATAACAAATCATCTGTGAATAAACTATCTTTAAAATCATATCCCCCAATGTTGCTACCAGTGATTTCCTTCTCTGTTCGAATAGCACATGCAAGAGGTTCAAGAGCCAGAACAAAAAGAGATGGTGAGGCTGGGCAACCCTGCTAGGTAGCTCTTTTGAGTTGGAAGGGCTCAGATACAGCTGGTTTGTTATACAGGGCCCTCACCCAGCTAAGAATGACTGGACCAAAAGCAAACTTAGACAGAACATAAAACAGGTATCGCCACTCTACCCTGTCAAAGGCCTTTTCAGCATCCAGCAATATGGCTATAGTTAGATGCTGAAAAGTGCTCACTCTCTCCATGACATGGAGAAGTCTCCTCATGTTGTTGGAGGCAAGTCTACTGGAACTTAACTTGATTGAGATGAATTAATGAGGAGATGACAGTCTGTAAGCGCACAGCAAGAATTTTAGCAAAAAGCTTGTTGTCATTATTTAACATACTTATAGGGCGACAAATTGACATATTTGAATGATCCCTGCCAGGTTTGGGCAACAAGGAAATGGTGGCTTCGCGGATAGTTAACGGCATGGATTGATTGGCTAATGTATCATTAAACAATAAAGCAAGAAGTGGAGAAAATTTTTGTTGAAAACATTTATAAAAATTCAACAGAAAAGCCATCATTGCCTGGTGCTTTCCCTGTTGGAAAGGCTTTCAAAGCAGCTAATATTTCGCTCTCGCTTACAGTTGTCACCAAGCTTACTCTATCTTATTTTTTTTTAAGTTGGTAAGGAAATGTCCTTTAAGAATGTTTCTATATGTCTTTCATTTATATGTTTTTCCTTCAGTCTGATACAGGTTACAGAAAAAATCTCTGAAAGCTGTGTTAATTTGCGTTTGTTCAAAAATAACTGTACCAGTACTATCACATATGGGTGATATCGATTGCCAATTCTGGTGTTGTTTTAACCCCAAGGCCATCATTTTGCCTGCTTTGTCGCCGCTTTTAAAATATTTATGGCGCAGTTTGAACAGTACAAATGCTATTGAAGTTGGTTCATTTCATTATCAACGAGCCCACTTCTTTTGTAAGGTTTTCCAGAGTTGTGCTATCACTTAACATCTGGTCCTCTATAACACCAAGAGGCTTTTCTGTGTTGATAACTCTGTTTAAAGTGGCTCATGTATCCCTTTTCAATCCATTAATTGATTCATAAAGTTCATCAAACCTTTTTGAATTCGATTCTTTAACGCCTGAGACCTACGCCATTTTATTTTCCTAATTTTGTTTTTTATTTTTTGTTGTGTTCATATAATTGACCTTCAGGGCCACCATATCACCAAAAAGTAACTGAATACACCAAAATTAAATGGAAATAAAAGTTCTCACCTCAAATTGAAAAACAAACGAAAAAAACATAAAATGGTTTTAGTTATGAAAAACGTTATCTGAAGAGTTTTTGTTGTTTTTGTTTTTACTCTTATTCAGATCTTTATCTTTCTCTCCTTTCCTGATAGCTCCCTTTGTGACTCTGTCCTTTTTCTGAAGTGCTTGAACTTGGATTCCCTCACTGTCCCCTCTCCCTTCCCCGAGTGTGCGCACACGCGTGCGTGCATGTGTGTGTGTGTGTGTGTGTGTGTGTGTGCTGTGATATGACTTTGGCCCTGACTCCAGACCTTACTGAGATGCTTTGTTTGGAGCGGGTTGAGATCAGATGTTTTTAGTCATTACACCACATCTCATTAGGTTTCCCATCTCATCCAAACAAACCTAATGAGACAGTGGTTTATGTCCACAGCCCCTCCCCTCCCCCTGGTGTAAGAGCAGGGTACGTGTGTCAGGATGTGTCGGGCCAAATTACCCAGACGTCTCGCTCGGTGAAGGCACCTGGGCCCTCTTGTCGCTTGGGGGAGGTGAGCTCATGAAAGTAGGGGGCCCAGCTGGAGGAAGTTAAAGAGCTAAATGCAGATTGGGGGTTCCTGGACGAGAGGGCGTTTGAGTTTTGAGACCTGGGGGGGTCACCCAGGGAATTATGGGGTGTCTTTTGTTTAAGGACATGTGGGAGAATCTGATTCAACCATCCAGTGGAAAATTCCTAAGTATAAGTTGACACCTTTATTTAGTGCTGGATGGTAATGATCAAGGTAGGAACTCTTGATTGATCTCAATCAAGAAGGCAATCAAGCCAGAGACTCCCTTATATAGAGGTGAACCTAAAATATGAGGTTCTTATTGTGGGGTAATTGACGCTGAAACCAGTCACACCCATAGACTATTTAAAACTAATGCCATGAGTGTTCAGCCACACTGAGGCAAAACATTCAGAGCTCCTTCTGCTGACAGGGTGCAGCTTTTAGACCAAACTGGTGAGCAGTTTGTGTGTGGTGCCATCTCCCACAGCAGCTATTATTGCAATTGTGATCCAGCTTCCACTGCTGCCTGCAGATTGTGACGTTAAAGCCTGGATGGCCGTGAACTTTTTTAAATTTCAGTGAGAAAAAGAAAGAAGTGATAATGTTTGGGCCCAAGGGTTCTTGTGAACTCCCTTCTGTTGACTTGAGTCCTTTAGCTGATTATCTAAAGCCAATAGTCTCAAACTTTGGTTTTAAGATAGACAGTGATTTTAAATTGGACAGGCAAATTAGCTCAGAAGTGAAGTCTAGCTTTTTTCAAATTAGGCAGCTGACAAAGGTGAAGCCTTTCCTTGCACAACAGCACTTTGAAACAGTAATCCATCACATCTCGGCTGGATTACTGTAATGCACTTTATTTTGGAGTCCTCTCTTGCACGTCTCCAGTTGGTGCAAAATGCAGCCGCTCGCCTCTTAACTGGAGTATGTAAGAGGGAGCACATGACTCCAGTGGAGGGAGGCCAGGAGGCCTGTTCATTTTAGAGTCGAATTTAAGATTCTTTTATTTGTTTTTAAATCTTTACATGGTCTGGCCCTGCCTTTCCTCTCTGAGCTCCTTCACCCCTACACTCTCGTCTGGTGCCTCAGGTTGGCTGACCTGCTGCTCCTGGAGGTACCAAGGTCAAAACGGAAGCTCAGAGGGAAACAAACATTTCTTGTTGCTGCTCCTAAATTGTAGAACAAGCTTTCCTTAAACATTAGGCAAGCTCCCTCACTGTCCACTTTTAAAACTTGTCTTAAAAGTAGGGTTGGGCATTGTTAAAATTTAAACTATTCCTCGTTTCAATTCTGGTTCCTAACGATTCTCTATTTCGATTCTTTTAAAAGGCAGGATAAAAAAATGCATGTTTTAAATGAGGGCATTAACCAGAGTTCCTTTTGAGTGAAATGTCTGAACTTCTCCATGAATTTTGAAATGATATAAACTTTACTGTAAATTTCACACAAGGCTATTTTCAACCAATATATAAATATCAATCTTTGATGTCAAGTAGTTTATTTATGAAAAAGAACACAGGTTAACGTTAGTTGGATATTTAAGTTGACCCATCTTATACAGTACAATTCATTTATCACTTTAATGTTCGCAGAAGACAGGAGTAATTTATTGTTTTACTTATCTGATTCTGACTGGTTAGAACAAGACCAGCGCAGCGCATCAAAGACAGGGCACTCAGTTATTTCTACACCATGAATACAGAGGTGTTTAAAAGGGTGACTATACTTACTCTTTTATCTGGACATTTCCTCTTTTGGGAGTCTGTCTGGCCTGTCCGGGGAGAGTTTATAAAATCCTTCAAATGTTTGGGATTTTGTATGGAAGCCCATTTTTTTTTCTTCCTTAGTTTTGAGTTTGTTTGGCATGTACTATATCTTGGCATCACAGACCACTGTATTTACCAAACATGTTCAATGGCTCATTTGGAAACGCACTCTGAGAGGTGGAGCTCCACGCCAAACCAACAGAACGTGTATTCATTCATTGTAAAACAGTACAGCGCGTCAGTGCTCTCTGCTGCTCTGCCCCTCTGCTCACTTCTAGGCGAAACCACTGACGCGACGCAAGCATGCACTGTCTCCTGGTGAGCAAAAGAAAAGGGAGAAACTGTTTTTTTTCGCAGATGTTGCACTGTGCTACTCCGTTCTCCTCTTTGTAATCAAAATGAAGGCAGACTTTCGAGTGATATTTTGTGGTCCATGTTCAAACGAGTGATGTTCATGCTAGCGGACGCAAAGAGAACGCCAAGCAGAGTAATACACGCCCCAAAAACAAACTAATATGGGCTCTCCCAACCAAAAGAAAAAAAAAGAATCAGAATACAAAAATCTGCTTAACGGTACCAGAACCGGACATTAGGAACCGGTTCTTGGTACCCAACCCTACTTACAAATCATTTTTATTCCTTGGCTTTTAAACCCCGCACGAGACTCTGCTCCTGTTTTAGTGTTTTATGGTTTGATTTTAGTTGTTTCTATTGTTTTTAAATTCGTTTTTAAAAACAATGAAACTGTTATTTTAGTGATTATTATCTGCTTACTTTTATCTATTCTTTTCAGTTGTTTTAATGTCTGAGCTGTGTTTGCCAATGAATGTAGAGCACTTTGTTCATCTGTGGTTGTTTTAAAGTGCTTTATAAATAAAGATGAGTTGAGTTGAGTTGATAGTTGAGGGATATGCACCGATTATTCATTCCTCTGTTCTGGACATTTGTTTCACTGCACTTTAATCTCAAGTCCCAAGAAACAGCAATACTGTTTTTGTTTCTTGACTTGTAGATATGCTCGTTTCTCATTACTAACACTTTGATCTGTGTGTGATGCTCTTTGCAAGCATACATAGACCAGCAGGGATGACACAGCAGCTTTCTGGATTTCTGTTTTCTGTGAGTTTATTCGGACAAGAGAAGCCAGTGTTATGGAGAACACTGATATCATCACCTCACTTTTCAAGTTTGAGTGGTAGCCTATTTCATGCCTTTTCCCTTTTTTGTCTTTACTGTTTGGGGTGTCAGGATAATTCTCCATCTGCTGAAAAGGCAGACAGAAGAGGCATTATTTTCACCATGACTGCTTTGTCTGCTATGATCAGCATCAATGAGGCAGCCTCTGTAATGGTCATCTCACATCTCTCTGCTAATGATCCAGTCTGAGCACAGGGATTATGGGAATGAGACAACACTGGGACTGATGATAAAATATTTTTCAACAGCTAATATGAAGCTTAACATCTGTCTGCCCATATCCAGATTTTAATTGTCATTTTACTGCATCACCCTTCCGCTAAAATTCTTGGGTTTTGATGGTGGATGCACTATGAATATGATATTTGGGCTGCAGACCAAGGACGTAAATCCCTCTCATTTGCCAGTTTTAATTTCTGCAGGTTATTGGATCCATCAAAAAATAAGTAAAAAAGTGTACCGGACATACAACTCCCTGAAGGCTGTCTGGACAAGTCACCTGCGCCAGCATAAGGCTGATAACTCTTCATAATCTAATCATAGATGCAGAAAGACAAATTAAAATGCAGAAAGGCTGAAAAGAACACTTGAAAATGAGATCTGATGAGGGTCTGTGTCATAATCCCAGAAACATGAATATTACATTCCTGTACAACTCTATTAAGGCTGTGTTGGACAGCTGCAGCTTAGACATCATTACACAGGACCTCTGAGAGTTTAGGAGAATAAGCTGCTGTATTTAATTAACTCTACTTTAAAACACTATATCAGACTAAGAAAAATTCAGAGTACAGGATAATGGGCTGCAAGGACAATGCAGGGTGATGTCGTGATTATTTCTACTATAACATCCTACTTGTGATACGTTATACACTACAGGCCAAAAGTTTGGAAGCAAGGCCATTACAGGCCGAATAGTTGGGAGTAACTTCAAGTTTTTGTTCACAATGCTTTTTTAAAAATCCAACATGAGTTGTATGTATTTTGGGATGTATTTACTCCATGATCAGATGTTGCTTTCATGGAACTGCACCATTTTACTCCATTTACCTTTAGATATACATTGATGTTAACAGACCATTGCTAAATATATGTCAGCAAAAGATAATTAGGGCTTAGTTTTAGGGTTGAAAACATTTGCAAGAGTCACAACTTCAGTGCAAAAGCAAAAAACAAATCACAGTAGGATTAGTGGTGTGTCGGTCTTGAACGAACGGATCAAAAGAACTAGTTCTTTTTGGTGAACGAAATGAACTAGTCCCCCCCCCCCCAAATGACCCGTTCAGTCCGTTCAGTTCTTTTGATTGGCTGAAGAGGGACTATCTCCGTGCTTGCCTGTCTTATCCTATCGTCGCACCTCGTTCTGTGTGTGGGTGGGGCTTAGAGAAGCAGCAGCAGTACTACTGAGCTGACTGAAAGACCGGGATGACCGAGTTGACTGAAAGAACAGGTCAAATGAACAAAAGACCGAGTTGAACGAAAGACCGAGTTGAACGAAAGACCCAGACGGATGAACGAGTTGACTGAAAGACTGAGTGAACGAAAGATCCAGACGGTGAACGAGTTGACTGAAAGACCGAGTGAACGAAAGATCCAGATGGTGAACGAGTTGGCTGAAAGACCGAGTGAACGAAAGATCCAGACGGTGAACGAGTTGACTGAAAGACCGAGTGAACGAAAGATCCAGACAGATGAACGAGTTGACTGAAAGACCGAGTTGACTGGCCGCCGACAGCCGACGAGCCGACAGCCGAGCCCGAGCGAGCGGGACAGTCACACACACACAAAGGCACACAGCTGCTGCTGCAGCCAGAGGCAGAGAGACAACTATTAATACGCATTTGCACTGTCTGTTGACATTTTGTACTTTTTATTATTGTTTTTAATGCACCTCAAAATAATAAAACCATTAAAAACCTTATATATTTTGTTACTCCTACTATAATTTTATATTACAAGGAGTGCAGCGCGATCGCAGCGTTGGACCGGGGGTGGGAAGTGGGGAGTGCAGCGGTCACAGCGTCGGACCGCGGGGGCGTCGTAACGTCGGACCGGGGAGCTGAGACGCTCGCAACATCGGATCCGGAGGGGTGTAATGCTTCAGATTTCAAGATCACATGTTGTTGCGCTGTTGAGTCTGAAGTGCAGTCAGTCCGTTCGCTCAGCGTCTGAACGAACGTGAACAACATGAACGAGCGGACTGACTAATGACCGATTGACCGAAATGAACGAAATGAACGGGTCTTTTTACTGAATGACCCGGAATGATCCGGTTCACTGAAATGAACGGTTTTGCCCACCACTAAGTAGGATTATTCACTTCAACTTTTTGGCTTTTGAGAGTCTGCATACAGAAATCCTAATAAATCTCAACTGCATTCAAACTACCGCAAAAATGGCTAGAAAGAAGCAACTGAGTAAAGAAACAAAAGTACAGATTTGTACATTGAGGAAAGAAGGGTACACAGAAAGAGAAATTGCAAAACAACTAAAGGTGTCTAACAAAGGAGTCCACTACACTCTGAAGAGACTAGAGGAACCTGGAAGTTATGATGATAGAAAAAGGCCTGGACGAAAGAGAGTTACTACAAAAGCAGAGGATAAACATAGAATTGTCACCATTAAAAGAGATCGGCCAAAGACAGCACAAAAAATAAGGGAGGAAATCAACATGACAAGGTCGAAAGTCATATCTTTGACTTTTGAGAAAGGCTGATCTGAAGGGTTGTGTATCTGCAAAAAAACACTACTTCGTCCACAGAACAAGAAAAAGAGATATGAGTGGGCAAAAGTGGGCAAATTGGACTTATGATGACTAGAAACAAATTCTCTGGACCGATGAAAGCAAGTTTGAACTGTTTGGTTCAAAACGCAGAGTCTATGTCCGCAGACAAACTGGTGAACGTCTGAAAGCACCATGTGTTACACCCACAATTCAGCATGGAGGTGGTAGTTCCATGGTATAGGGATGTTTTGCAGGTGATGGAGTAGGAGATTTGTTTGAAGTAAAGGGTATCATGAAGGAGGAACAGTACCACTCCATCCTCCAGCACCATGCTGTTCCATCTGGACTCAGACTTGTGGCTCATAAGTTTGTTTTGCAGCAAGACAATGACCCTAAGCACTCTGCCAAGCTCTGTCAGGGTTACCTTGACAAAAAAGAAGAGGAAGGTGTTCTTCAAAAGATGGTTTGGCCCCCTCAGTCTCCAGACCTTTCTCAATTGAGCTTGTGCAGGATGAATTGGATCGATTGGTCAGAAAAGCACGTCCCACGAATCAGCAGTCTCTTTTTAATGAACTTAAGAAAGCTTGGAATGCAATCCCTAGAACATACCTTAAAACACTTGTGGAACGAATGCCTGGTGTACGCCAAGCTGTTGTTAGAGCCAGAGTAGGCTACTTTAAAGAAAGCAAAGTCTAAGCAACAATAACTCAAATACCTCGTAATTATAGTCAAAATGTCTTCTGATAAGTTACTCTTTACACAATAGTCATGTTTATTGTGCTGCTAAGTATATATATGAAACTATGATCTTTTTTTGTTCAAATCTGATCTTGCATCCAAACTTTTGGCCTGTCTTTTTAGCACACACATTTGTTAGGGCTGCAGCTGTAATCCCAGATCCTAAAGGATGATCTGTTGGGATATCTGTCTACAGATAGAAGTTGGCTCATTTAAGGAGGTTCAAGGTTAAAGACACCAGAACAAACCATGTTGAGGACATCTACAGAACTGAGGCTGAGACAGATCAATGAAGAACTGATTAATTGAAAAGAAAATGTCACAGGCCAACATCTTTAAAACAGAAAAACTTGATTTACAAAAGGATCAAAATACTTTGGTGCCCATGCAAATGCACCAGAATAAACATAATCTAATTCAGAAAGCAAGGGGAAAAGGTGAACTGTACTGGAAAGCAAACCCACAGTTAGCTCCCTCACAAACAGCTACAGTGCTTCCACTAACAGTCAAGTCTCTGATTCACCGATCTTGTAACTATAACAACTTGAAAACAAAAATACACCTCCTGTTCTGTGGGTGCTGTGGGAGTCCTGAGTTAATTGAAACCATTTTTGAACTAGAGAGTAAATCTGTTCATTTTTGCTCTAAATAATTTTATTTATTCATTCATTTATTTGGCCTAGTGAGTGTCTGGTTTCTGGTACTTCTGGTACTTTCTGGGACATCTGTTTGACTATCAATAGTAAATAGTGTGGGTTCATTTTAACAAGGAAGTTTGTTTAAAAGGATTATAAAAATCTCATGTCTGTATCAGAGTTTGACATTATCATTTTTGCATTACTTAGCGTCATTGCAGCAGCACATTGAGACAGCAGACAGTATCTACACCGTAGTGAGGAGTGCGTGTTGGTTGTGAAGGACTCTGCCCCAAAACTAGTCTGTGTGAGCTGTTTTGGAGCAGAAAGGGATGGTTCTTGCAGAGCTAAATGGTCTAATGTGACCCAATTAAAGATGAGCATGGAGACAAGAATAAATCCATCACTCTGCTGAGGCCGATAGATTTATTCTCATCCCTTCATCAAGCCTGATTGTCAACTCCTATTAACGGATTTTAGACCATTTTGGGGTTTAAATCTGAAACTAACAATATTTTTTGAGAGGTGTAAACATTATCTCTAAAGTTTACCCGTAAAGAAAATCAAAACATCCCTCCTTTATAAAATGATGCAAAAGTGAGACTGCATTTAAGTGCTCCAGATCAGAAGAGAAAATCGGCACAGAGTAATGAGAGCTTTGAGATTTAACACTACTGGCTTTTATCCATTTCTGTCAGTCTCAATCTCTTAGCAATCAGTGACATCTTTGTATTGTCCCTTTGATGTTTAAACCAGAATAAAGGTTGCAACCCATCCTCTAGTTACAAAAAAGTCCTCAAAGTTCACATTCATGAGGTGTTCACAGAGGCAGCGGCTCTAAAAAGTTAGTGAAGTGTCCTGAACATGTGCAAATAGAGTCCCAGCTCATTTACTTTAAGTTATGTTGGAACATGTCTCCTGAATACCAGGGCCATCTCCTGATGGTACGCAGATTAAAACAGATCCTCACTGTTTTGTCCTGACGTGCTTTCAGGAATATTACTGCTCAAATGAGGCCACAGAAGACCTGACCTCGTTAATTCTCGGTGAGCCAGCAGGAAATCCAGCTAGGATGACTTTTCTGACTTCCTCTGTGTTTCCCTGGAGATCCCAGCTCATACAAGCAGAAAGAGAACAGTAATTTAGATGAAATTAAGTTTGTTTTGAAATAATGATTCCAAGGAAAGGCTAGACAAGGGTGGAGCTACACATTACTTCATAAACTTTAAAGCTTTTATGAGGAGGTTTTTTTCTTTTTAATTTTTGGACATTTTCCAAATACACTGAAATTCATATTGGTGACCTTACATGACAAACAAGACAATCAGAAACAACACAAACTGAAAGATCACATGAGCTTTAAAGGGGACCTGCCATCAAAATTTCATACCCATTTTTATCATTTTTTCATAATCCTTGATGTCATCTGATCATGTTTGCAACATAATTTTAGCTGAAAAGTTATTTGATGGTTTGTTTTAGTATGCCTAAAAAACCTTACAGGAAAACCAACTGGTTTTGGCTCATTAACATTTATGGTAATGAGCTTTGCTCTGATTGGATCGCTGCTGTGAAGCCTGCTGTGCTCTGATTGGCTCAGCAGTGGAGGTTCGGATTTCAGTTTATCCATTTTGCTAATGTGTGCTAAAGTAAGGTGCCCAGATGTCTGTAATGATATCTGGGGATATTCGGTGCAGCGGCGGCTGCGGGGAGGGTGCAGGGGCTGTGTGATCACAGACAAAATCTCGGTACTGTTTAGTAGCAGCGCATGCCCCTTGTAATAACCCCCTTAAAAACTGTTGATCAGGACTGCTTACCTGTGCTTCCTACCTATTCGGCTACTGTAATAACCGTTGTTCGAACCCACACGCAACATTTTTGCTCTCGTTCATGAAACGCTTAAATCGGGGACATTTTCGGGGACAGCTTTAGCCGGGGACAGGTCATCCAATACGGGGACTGTCCCCGGAAATCGGGGACGTCTGGTCATCTTATACTAAAGGCTAAAAATGGCAGGTATTAAACCGGTATGGCAGGTATTATATTTTAGACCCCGAGTCCGAAGAGGAGGTGGAAGTTGAAGAAGCCAGAGATCTCCAGTGGTGTTTTCTCATTCATTCTGCCCAGCTTTAAGTTCATTTTCCCGGCAGTGAACCCAAGGAAACACCGGTCGTTTGGAAGAGACCCATAGCGGATACAGTGGTAGCTGGGTCTCGCGCTGGCTAGTATGGAGAGTGATGTTGACTGGGAATGAGTACGAGAAAGAGAGAGTGGGCGCGGCTCACCGAGGACGTGCTCGTGAATAATAATGAGCAAGGTCAGCGCAACGTCAGAGGGACCTGCTTTTTCAATTGGCCTGGTTTACCCGTTCCTTTATTTTAAACCTTTACAGAATGCAAACGACGTAACGGTTTGTTTTCACATTTACAACATAAGACGAACATAATATGGACCTTATCTGACACAAAATACTCACACAAAATTACATTTTGATGGCAGGTCCCCTTTAATTAGTGCATTTTTCTCATATGGGGCAGCAGTAGCTAAGGAGGTAGAGCGGTCATCCAACAACTGGAAGGTTGGCGGTTCAATTCCACTGTATCCCGAGTCTGTCTGTTGTGTTCATGGGGAAGACACTTAAACCCACCTTGCTCCCAGTGTGTTTCCTCCACTGGTGTATGATTGTGTGTTGAGTGTTGTGTGGTGGTGGTCGGAGAGGCTGTAGGTGCAAACTGGCAGCCATATTTCTGTCAGTCTGCCCCAGGGCAGCTGTGACTGCTAAGGTAGTTTACCACCACTGTGGTCTCTGATAAAGTGCTCTGATGCATTCTTATTATTATTAAATATCATCACCCATTTCTAAAACATTTTAATTTATCATCAACCATGAGACCGACACTTCTTAGATAAGACTTTTCCTTATAGAACTATTATCATGCTTTTATTATGATATTTTTCTTGCTTTTAGGTTGCTATACGTCCCACATTGCCAAACTATGCTTTCATTTCTGAGTGCACAACTGCATGTAAATCCCAAAAGACTAAAATAAATAAATAAAACAGTTAAATAACTTTTAAAAAGTATAAATGTTCCATGTCCTGGAGAGACATGTGCTCTAATGTTGTTTTTGGATTAATGGTAAATCTTGAACATCTCTCAGGGGGATATTTCAGCTAGCTTGCCAGCAGCTGTTGCTTCTTGTATGTCTCTTCTCCTTTTTATGACATGTGGCAGCCAGCATACAAAGCCACTAAGATGAAATTCAAAAACGGGTGAAAAAGGCTGGTTATGTGGTAGGATTCAAGCTGGACTCGCTGGAGGATGGGGTGGAGAGATCTACACTGAGGAAGGTGGAGACTATTCTACAGAACATGGATCACCCACTCCACAACACCTTGATGGACCAAAGGGCCAATGGTGGTGGACGGCTCCACTCTCTTCACTGCAGGACAGAAAGGTTCAAAAGATCTTTTGTACCAACAGCCATCAGACTTTATAACTCTTATGTAAATGGTAGCTCAACCAGGACAAAACAGAGGTTTTAATAATTGGTTCAAAGGCTCAGAGAGAGAAACTGACCCCCAAACTCCACAAAATAGGACTTAACCCCAGCCAAGAAGCATGAAATCTCGGGGTGGTCTTTGATTTTAATTTTAAAACTCGTGCTAGGGGTGTCACTAAAACAGCCTTTTACCATCTTAAAAACATAGCAAAAGTACGACCGTTTCTTTCTCTGAGCCAGACAGAGAGACTAATGCACGCTTTTATAACCAGCAGGCTTGACTACTGTAACACTCTTCTCTTTGGTCTACCAAAAAGCACAATAAACCAGCTACAACTTATCCAAAACTCTGCTGCTAGAGTTTTGACTAGGACCAGGGGAAGAGCTTATATTATACCCATTTTATAGTCTTTGCACTGGCTGCCTGTTAGTTTTCGCATAGATTTTAAAATTCTTTTACTAGTTTATAAAGCTCTACATGGCCTGGCACCAGAATACCATTCAAAGATGATTTTAATTTATGAACCAGGGCGGCCTCTCAGATCCTCTCAATCTTCTCTTTTAGTCATTCCACAGAGCGGAACAAAAAGATTTGATGATGCTTCTTTTTGCTGCTATGCTCCGAAACTGTGGAACAAACTTCCAGAGGGTCTGAGACAAGCTGCAAATATTGAAATTTTTAAACATTACCTAAAAACTTATCTATTTAGCCTGGCTTATATATAAAGCTTTATTATTTTAATTACTATTATAATTAATTTATTTTTTAGTATCACGTTTTACTTTCTTTTATTAATAAATTCAAGTTAATATTTTATTGTCTGTTTTAGTCTATTTTAATAACTTTTTTTTTTCTTTTCTTGTCCTGATGTAAAGCACTTTAAGCTGCAATTTCATTTGTATGAACAGTGCTATATAAATAAACTTTGATAACTGTTAGAGACATATTTTGTGAGACAACAGATAATTGAATTTCCCTTCGGGGATTAATAAAGCTATTCTTATTCTTATTCTTATCATTAACACCATTATATTGCCGCCTCTTTATGGTGCTGAAGATACGTTTTTTTCAAGTCTCCTTTTGTTTTACAGCTGGACCCCCAGAAAACCCACATGCATTCCAAAGATCAGGTCAGACTTAAATGTCCTTGGGTTTTTTTGAGGTGTTTCACTCAAATTTCAACTCTAAAGCCAGGGGGGTTGCCATTTTAATTGGTAAGTCAATTCAGTTTTCAGCTTCTAAGGTTATATCAGACAAAAATGGAAGATACTTAATTATTACAGGTACACTATTCCATGTTCCCATTTTATTAGTTAACATACATGCCCCAAATTTTAATGATCCACACTTTATGAATAAGCTTTTTGAATGTCTTCGTTTATCGAATAACAAGCTCCTTATAATTGGAGGGGACATGAATTGTTTAATTAATCCCAATCTAAATGGCTCTAACCCATGAACTCTGACTTTATCATTAATGTCCAGGGGCCTCATTTATAAAGCTTGCTTACGCACAAAACCTGGCTTGAAAGTGCTTACGCCACTTCTTAAGCAAGAGCTGGGATTTATTAAAAAAAAACTAGTGTAGGAATGTGCGCAACTTTAAGCAAACTCCACACCTTGCTTACGCACTTTTTGGAGACAATCGGAGCAAGGTGAGAACACATGGTTAATGGAAAGCGCGCATATAAAAAGCCATACAGTGACAGTCGTGCGCAATGCCGCACAAGTTTCAAGTTTTATTTGTCACATGCCTAAATGTACAGGTACAGTGGCAGTGAAATGAAAGTGACGTCTGCGATTGTGCCAAAAAAACAGAATAATAATAATGTAAAGTCTGTTCAGAGGGTGTTGTGAAGCCATTTATGGGGTGTGTGTTATGAGGAGTTCAGGATCCGAGTGGCCCGGGGGAAGCTCCTTTTCAGCCTCTCAGTCCTGGCTCTGATGGAGCGAAGCCTCTTACCCGAGGGCAGCCGCTCAAACAGTCTGTGGTTGGGATGGTGAGTGTTTGATAATCCGTCTTGCCCTGGACTTGCACCACTGGGTGTAGATGTCCTGGAGGCCGGGCAGTGCAGTCCGGGTGATGCGTTCAGCACAACGGATGACTCGATGCAGCCTTTCTGTCCTGAGAACTGCAGCTGCTGTACCAGGCAGTGATGCTCACAGAAAGTGCAGACCCCACTGTGGCAGTGTAGAAAGTTTGCCAATGTTAAATTACAAATGTGCAAAAAAACTAATTCCATTTACATGCATTTGTTTTAAGATTAATATGACTAAATCTTTTTGGTTTACGAACTTTCACCACATGAGCAGCGGTGGATAACGGAGCAGTTTTTTTTTTTAACACATGCATGAGTGTCACACGTGCTTGTGTTTTCTGATCCTCAACCTGTCGCCGCCACGCTCCGACGGTGCAAAGCCACTTTTTTCTTTGCCTCCACCTTTAGATCAGCCATTTCTTCCTGATTTCGGCAACGCTGCGCTCAGTGCCAGCCGCACTTACCGCCACGGCAACGGCGTGCCATTCGGTGGCTTTTCTTTTATTGGTGATGCCACTCGAATGGCCGCCGAATAAGGTCTCTTGCTCGCCGCCACCTCATTTACAAGAACCTCCACCTCGGTCTCCGAAAAGTTTCTTTTTCTACGACTTGCTGATGCGATGATTAAGCGTGAAATGCCGTGGAGCCATCAGGCTTATTTATATGCAAATCACATTCATGACGTAATTTGCATGACCATACATGGTGAATCTTGGGTGTGGGAGGGCGGGGCATGAATCAAATCCCTGCTGCGCAACTTTCCGGCTGGTCTGTGATTTATAAAGGGAAAGTGCGTGCAGGTGTGCATAGGCAGGGTTTTATAAATCAGATTTTTTTTTGGCCTACGCACTTTTCAGCTTTTCAACTTACGTACACTTTTAGTATGAATCCTACGCCAGGTTTTATAAATGAGGCCCCAGGTCTCTTTCTGATTTCATGTCCAAAAAGGTTGCTTTGATCCTTGGAGATTTTACAACCCCCATGCCAAGGAATTTTCTTTCTTTCCACAAATGCATCAGTCTTTTTCTCAGATTGATTATTATTTTTATTGATGCTCAATTTATTCCTACAGAATTATTCCTTAATTCTGTTTTTCACTCATTCTGTTCCTCTTTATATGAATCTGAATCTCCACCTGACACCACCAAAATGAACTTGTTCCGAGATAGCCTCAGTTTTCTAGTTTTAAACTCAGATTCTGCTAAAGAACTTGACTCATTATTTTACGGTAGAAGAAACTATTCGCGCTAGGAGAAACATGCAAAATAACAAAGCTCTTGGCCTCGAAGAATTCCTAGTTTTAGCAGTGGAAGCATACCCAAGAAAACAAAGATCTGGAATAATTATTCAATAAAATTTCAAAAAAGGGAACTTAACTGGGAGAGTTGGAGGGAAAAAGGTATGCAGTACCTCTCAGACATAACTGAAAATAACTATGTTGTTCCATTTATAGAGCTCCAGACCCACTTTGCCTTCGAAAACATAGAGTTTTTTAGATATCTACAGTTTAGGAACTGGATTAAAGAAAACTTTAAATGAAAATATGATCTAGTCCCTGGACCCTTTGAGGACTTTTTGGTTAAAGGTGGAAAAAGAAACCGCTAATTGGAACTGTATACAACATGCTGCTCAAGGAACAATCTAAACTGTACTCAATGGAAAAGCTGTATGACATAGTGTTAGGAATAAGAATAAGAACTTTATTAATCCCCGAAGGGAAATTCAATTGTCCATTGTCTTACTTGACATGTCTCTAAAACAGGGCCCGACTGAGAGAGAAATTCAGGCCAGGAGATTCCCAGTCAGCCAGGCCACTTCCGCCACCACGAGGGTAGTGTTATATGGGGTGATGCGCAGAATTTTATTATTTTTTTTCCCTCCAAAAAACCTTCCTTTTACAGTTATGTTACAGCAAATACACCAACACTATTAAACTGACAGTAAAGTAACACAACACCACCCTATTAAACACAACCATGACGACAGCTCCACACAGTCCAGGGGCCTCATTTATAAAACCTGGCGTAGGATCCATACTAAAAGTGTACGTAAGTTGAAAAGCTGAAAAGTGCGTAGGCAAAAAAAAAAAATCTGATTTATAAAACCCTGCCTACGCACACCTGCATGCACTTTCCCTTTCTAAATCACAGACCAGCCGGAAAGTTGCGCAGCAGGGATTTGATTCTTCCCCGCCCTCTCCACACCCAAAATTCACCATGTATGGTCATGCAAATTACCTCATGAATGTGATTTGCATATAAATAAGCCTGATGGATCCACGGCATTTCACGCTTCATCATGGCATCAGCAAGTCGTAGAAAAAGAAACTTTTCAGAGACCGAGGTGGAGGTTCTTGTAAATGGGGTGGCGGCGAGACGGGAGACCTTATTCGGCGGCCATTCGAGTGGCATCACCAATAAAAACGCCGTTGCCGTGGCGGTAATTGCGGCTGGCACTGAGCGCAGCGTTGCCGAAACAGTGTTGTTTTCTCCATATTTCGTCAAATATTTTCGTCAACGCCAGCGTCAAAAAAGGGAAATATTTTCGTCAACGAGAACAACACTGGTTGTTTTCGTTGACGAAAATATTTCCCTTTTCTTCCACGACGAAGACGTAACGTTGATGAGCTAAACATAAGTCGGAGATGACTAAACTGTGACGAGACGAAAGTGCTTTTACGTTGATGGGACAAGACGAAAATGACGAACAGAGTTGCAAAACTCAGTCAGTTAAACGCTAAACATATAGGAGCAGCTTCTGTCCGCTCTGACAGCTCTCATCAGCCTGCTGTACTCCTCCAACACACAGACACACACCCGCGTGCGCGCAAACACGTGGAGTTTTGTTTTCGTTGACGATGATGTTGACGAAAACAACACTGTGCCGAAATCATGAAGAAGTGGTCTGATCTAAAGGTGGAGGCAAAGAAAAACGTGGCTTTGCACCGTCGGAGCGTGGCGACAGGTGAGGATCAGAAAGAACAAGCACGTGTGACACTCATGCATGTGTTCCAAAAAAACTGCTCCGTTATCCACCGCTGCTTATGTGGTGAAAGTTCGTAAACCAAAAAGATTTAGTCATATTAATCTTAAAACAAACGCATGTAAATGGAATTTGTTTTTTTGCACATTTGTAAATTCACCTTGCTCCGATTGTCTCCAAAAAGTGCGTAAGCAAGGTGTGGAGTTTGCTTAAAGTTGCGCACATTCCTACACTAGTTTTTCTTTTATAAATCCCAACTCTTGCGTAAGAAGTGGCGTAAGCACTTTCTAGCCAGGTTTTGTGCGTAAGCAAGCTTTATAAATGAGGCCCCAGGACTTTTCTCTTCTCTAATCTCTTCACTACCCTCACCAAATGTTTCCTTTTGTCCTTTTATTTACATAATATATGGAAATAAACAAAATGTTGGTATTATTTTGTCTGCAAATCATTTAGATGTCTGCTGGTCATAGCTAATAGTACATGCTAACATCAATATTCACTGTAAAACTGAAAATTGTAAGTCAACAGCCCATCTTACCTGAAGAGGGGGTCTCAAACGTTTTAGGGCTTCTTGCAACCCACCTGACACCTGTGAAGTTTTTTGGGCCAGACTCTTGCCTCGCTCTCGAATAAACCCGTCTCGGTGCTCTGTGTTTGTTTTCCTGTTTACACTGCGAAGGGGCGGGCCAAAAAGCAACTGACCAATCACGACATTTTGACAAATCCCAACCCCTCTGATCCCAGTGCTCAGAGCGCGTGCTTTGTGTGAGTGGCAGAAGGGGGGCGTGTACTCTGCAGGCAGCATTGCTGTCCCTGGCCTGTCTGCCTGGAAACAGCAGACCAGCTTTTTTTCATTGGCCTGCCAGTGCGGCCAGGCCAGGCAGGCCAATAAGGAGGCAGGCCACCGGGAAAAGTCCTGCCTCTCCCTATTGCCAGTCTGAGCCTACTACAAGAGGTATAAATTCTGATGGCTGTTGTTACAAAAGATCTTCTGAATCTTTCTGTCCTGCAGCGAAGAGAGAGGAGCCGTCCACCACCATTGGCCCTTTGGTCCATCAAGCTGTTGTGAAGTGGGTGATCCATGTTCTTTAGAATAGTCTCTACCTTCCTCAGTGTAGATCTCTCCACTACATCCTCCAATGAGTCCAGCTTGAGTCCAACCACAGAGCCAGCCTTTTTCACCAGTTTGCTAAGACGTCTTGCATCTTTGTGTTTGATGCTTCCTCCCCAGCAGACTGCAGTGTAGAACAGAACACTTGATAAAACATCTGCAGCATCTTAGTACAGATGTCTATTGATCGAAGTCTTTTCAGGCAAAAGAGGCGGCTCTGCCTCGTTCTGTAGATGAAGTCTATGGGCTCTATTTTCGTGTACGCCCGTAAGGCGGAGGAGGGCGGCGAGCCCCGCGCAGTTGTATTTTCGTCTGGCGCAGCCCGGCGTACAGCCAGTTTGGTATTTTCGTGGACTAAGGCGCACGGAGGTGAACCGAGATCCGCCAAGCTGGGCGTGGTGGTGTGGCAGGGGGAGGTGTCGACAGAATCAGCGGGCGCAGTGACATTTTCGTGCTCGCCACTGGCGTGTAAAGTGCGCTGAAAGCCCGCCGATTCAAACCTGGTCAGCTTTCAGCGCAGGCGGAGTGCAGCTGGTCCAGTAGTATTTTGGTAGACCGGCGGCGTATCGGCATACGTCACCGATGCCTCACCGGCAGGTTTCCACAGTGTCTGACACATTTCAGTGCAATAAACAATCATAATCATCAACATCTAATGATCTGAGTTAGCACATACATTTAGATCTAAATCGATATATTCTGATCTATATCTGATCTGATGAGCGCGTTTGGCACGCGTTTGGACACACAACCTGACCGAATCATCACAGCTAAAACCGCATTAAATTAAATTAAATATCTAGTAAATAAACACACATGATGAAGTTAACAAGATATGTGATTCGTCTCCCTCCTTTTCTTTCTTCCTCTTATTTCTCGTGCAGCTCGACCTGGACACGTCTTCGTGTCCTCTCTCCGTCCTGCTGCAGCAGCAGCTTAACAGATGATTTGTTTCAGTGATCAGGGGCCTCATGTATCAACGCTGGCGGCGCCAGAAAACCTTGTGTCCGCCAAGATCAGCACACACGTCCTGATTTATCATCGCGACACAAGCGTCGGTTCCAGCGCTAATCAACGCAAAGTGAGGAGGTGGTGTAGAAGTTGGCGTTGAGCAGATACTTGCGTTGACAGCACTTTGGCAACGCTGTGTGGCGGTGTTTGGTGACTCACTATGTGACAAGCGTGCACCACATCCCCGTGGCCGAGCAGCACGTCGCCCCACATGACGAACCAGCAGCAGACGGAGGGATGCGAGCTGATCCCTGCCGGGCCGCCGTCCTCGCGCGGGAGAATCTCATCGCCACAGTGTGAATGGGTAAGAAGTGAATACACAGTTCAATGAGCCAAATTAATTTATTTTTGCCACCAGACGCTCGAGGACATTTACGAGCCGGTCCAGCCGCTCGTTGATCCCCGCGATCCCCCTGATGATTTCTTCCTGCGATTGCAGGACCGCCTCCGTGAGGACCCTTCCACTGCGTCCGGGTGGGCCAGCGGAAGCGCCGTGGCTGGTGGACGCTCCACCGCTTGTCAGCGGGCTGGTGCTGATGCTGGTGCTGGGGGCCAGGGTGGCCCAAATGCCGCTGGTCCTGGCCGACGACTGCGAGCCGGCGGACGGGCTGCTGCGGGCTGGGGTTCCGCAAGCCGGCGACACGGCCGACACATTGATTTCTGTGACACAATAAAAATATTGCTTCATTTCAATTCCTGCTTCTGTGTATCTGTAGCGTTTACATCTCTCTCCACGGTATCATAGGTAATGTAATCCAGTATTTAGAGGTCAGTTATGCACATTACAGTTGTTTATTGCATAAAAAGTTATCGAAAAATGAAGTTAAGGGCGAAGTATAAATCACGTCTAAAAATAGACTGAATCCCGACGTTGAAATGAAGTATAAACTTAGACTAGACGTCTAATATACGTCTTTTGTTCAGTGGGATGGCAAAGCATGTGGACATTTGTGTGACACGCCACTAACCCTGTAATAATAATCGCCACCACCCGCTGCTCAAACGGCGTGAGGGTCTCCTCCCCCGGAACCCCACCTCTCTGGCCGGTAGTCCTCCGGAGGGCAGCTGTACACCGCTTGATCTCCACCTTGAGGTCCTACCACCTTTTTTTAATCTCCGTGGGGGTGCGTGTCTCGGAACCCACCGCGTTCATCCTCTCGCAAACTTTCTCCCACTCCAAGCGTTTTCGTTTTGCACTGACGCCACTGGACAGGCTGCCAAACAAAACACGCTGACGCTCCTCCACCTCCGCCACCAGCACCTCCACATCGCACGCCGTAAATTTAGTTTTTCTTGTCATTTTGTCTGCGTGCGAGGACAGGGAGACCCTATTTAAATAAATCTGCATATTTATAGCAGGGCGTAACGGGGGCGGGCCCGGTCACTCCGAAATCTGCGCTCAATTCCAAGCTGATTGGGATTTATCAAGGAAACACACGTGGCTTTCGGCACCCGCACACCTTGATACATACAGATTTTTTTCAGCGTGACGGACCTTGCGTGCGCTCGTTTCTGGTATGAGTCCCACGCAAGTGTTGATACATGAGGCCCCAGATGAGTTATCGACTTTAAGCCAACATACGGATATTATAATATTCAGTTTTGTGAGGCACATTTATTTTATATGCCAACATCTATGAAAGAAAGAGCCAGGCCACGGAGCACGATGTGTCATTTACTCACAGATGGATTTTAATGCCATTATTGGAATTTATGTTGTGATCTGTGCGCACAGCCCACCTTTGTCACGTGAGGTTTGAATATATGCAACTTTATGTGAGTGTCTTTATTTGTGGAAAAGGGTGTTTGTCTTACCAGTGGGTCCAACATTACACACACCAAATCCGTCTGTGCTCATATGAGAGAGTGTGGCGGACGCCCAATGCAGCGCTTACAGTGACACTTGTTGAGGGGCTGTCTTCTGTCGCCATCTTGTGGCATTACTGTCTTCAGACATCTCTTGATCTCTCTGACTAATTCACGAAAATAGTAATATGCCTCGCCGGTGGCGGATTTAAAGGCAAGGAGAGGAGCTTATGTGATTGGTGAAAACTGGTCTCGCCTGTGTTAACCCACTCCACGCCCTCTTTCCTCCCTTGCAACGACTTACGCCGCTGGGAGGAGCTGAGTTAGGGAGGGGGGATACTTACGCCGGGCTGCGCCTCTCACCAAAATACCAAATTGTGCTTGGGAACGCCTTGTCGGCGCAGCGGACCTGACTTACGCCGCGCCTGTGGCACGTCTCCGGCACGTTTCCGGTGAGTTGCGAAAATAGAGCCCTATGTTCTTAGACCAATCCAAATTATTATCCAGGCGTACACCTAGGTATTTATATGATGTCACCACTTCTATGTCTACTCTACAGGTGTTCACTGGCTGAAGAGGGGGTTTGGATCTACGAAAGTCTATGACCATCTCCTTTGTCTTTGTGGTGACTCCAGTCGCTGAAGGCTCTTATCAGATCTCTGTATTCAGCTTCTTGTTCATTTCTGATAAATGCCACAATAGCGATGTCATCTGAGTATTTCTGGATGTGGCAGAACTCAGTGCTGTATTTGAAGTCTGATGTGTACAGTGTGAACAGGAATGGCACCAGCACTGTCGCTTGTGGAGCCCCTGTACTGCTCATTAATGTCCCAGAAACACAGTCCCCCAGCCTGACATCCACTCCCATCTCTGTTGAGCCTGTCTTTTAGTATGGTGGATTGGATGGTGTTGAATGCACTTGAATAGTTGAAGAACATGATCCTCACATAAACCCCAAGTTCCTCCAGATGAGACAGGGCACAGTGAAGCATGTAGAGGACAGCATCATCCACTCCAATGTGTTCTTAGTGTGCAAACTGAAGGGAATCCAGTTTGTCTTTGACCTCAGACCTCAGAAGACGTAGCATCAGCCCCTCCAGGGTTTTCATGATGTGTGAAGTGAGGGCCACTGGTCTGTAGTCATTGAGTTCGGCAGGACATTTTGTTTTTGGTACTGACACAATGCAGGATGTTTTCCACAGAGTAGGTACTTGCCCCAGCTGTAGACTCAGGTTAAAGATCCTGCAGAGAGGTTGACACAGTTCTGCAGCACAGTCTCTAAGCAGCCTTGGACACACACCATCTGGACCTGCTGCCTTCCCAGGACAAAGTCTTCCAAGCTCCACCCTCACCCCTGTTTCAGTGACAGACAAGGACTGGTGTGCTAGGAGGGAGGTAGTGGAAGTGGTTGAGACATTTGAACGAGATGGAGGAGGAATAGGAAAAGTTGTAGTGGAGATTTGTTGTGGAGAGGAAGGTGTAGTAGCAGTGGAAGTGGGTGTGACAGCAGTGTCATATCTGTTGAAGAACAAGTTGAGCTCATCAGCCCTTTCCAGATCACCCACTACTGGCTGTTGTGTCGCTCATGAACTTTCCGTTCAAAAGAACGGAACTGCTGAGTGGACGACGTGAATGGAATCACTCCGAGACCTGATTTGTTCCTTTCTTAGTTCAGCCACAAGCCTGGAGTGCCGGTTGGGAGTATCACTGCCACCATTGACTCTTTGGTGAACGACACAGAGCCAGCCAGTGAGGGGGTGGGCGGGTGAAGTCTTGTGATTTACTCACAGCGAATGACATGTGTCACCCAGTGAACGATGCTGTGACTTCAGCAGCAGGGGAGGGGAGGGGCTCGTTCAATGAACAAGTTCATGATCGGCGCCACTGTGCCACTCACTCCTGGACTGCACCGGCAGGACGGAGCTCCAGAGCACTGACTGATTTGGTAAACAAATCTTTTGAACGAATCCTTTTAATGAACGGATTCTAAAGATTCAGTACAGTCAAAAGAAATGTTCTTCCCATCACTAGTATGACAAATGGAACAAAGACCTACAATGTAATGATATTAATACAAAATGGAAGAAATGTGTATATCTCACAAATAGTATTACCTGAAATGAAAACCTACATTTAATACAATACAATTTTATTTAATCATTTCCTTAAAGTCATAATCCCCATATTAATCAATTTGCACTGCAGACATGGTAGTTCTTCTGCCTTAGCCTCTCGGTCTGATTGCATTTCCATGAAAAAATGATCATAAATGTTCTTCCTTGAGCTGCATCACCCCGCTGCAGTCATGATAGACTCGCACAAGGTCTCTGTACAAACAAGCGGCTGCTGGAAGAGAGAGGGTAAGTTGTGTTTAGTCTCTTTGCTAAAGAAATCAGGCAAAGCTAAAAAGATGTTTGGTAGCTAGTGCTATGGCTGGGACCCTATATGTCCTGTTGATGAAGTTAGGTGCTGCTCTGAGTATTATTTGCGGCTATAGAGTGGCATTTTGGATGAGCGTGTGGCTCTTGAAGTTGCCGTGCATTGCTATCGTGCGGTCATTACTAAAGTTGGTATAACTAGAGAAGCAAGCAGAATGGAAGATGGACATTTGACATTTGAAGAACAACAGGCTGTTGTAGACAGTGTGGAGATGAGAGCAGTTGAATGGTTTGACAACAGAGGGGTGATCATTGCCAGAACTTTTGCCAGTGCCCAGCCTGTTTCCAACAGGTGGGATAGGAAGTTAAAACAGAAAGTCTCAGTGGAATTCCCAAACATCATCTGTTTGTACAACAAGTTCATGGGCGTCGTTGATGCTCTTGGTGCACTAATAGCATATTACTTCATCCACATGTGGCAGCATAGAAATAATATATATATATATATATTTTTTTTTATCTGTGCGGTGAGCTGCTGTAGTAATTGAGCGCCGCAGGTGTCCAACCACCAAACAGAAGGAGAGAGTATAAGCTGTGACTCCTCCCTGCTTGTCTCTCTTTGCGCTCCTGTGCTGCTGCTACAGTAGGTGCTTGGCTGCAACAGGTATGCCTTCATTGTTTTACTTAGGTGTCTTTGTATATTTGTAATTTGTTTAGGTTGGCCTTCTTTTTGTTTAGGGTTATTGTGTATAGGTTTATTTTTTTGGTTGATTATTTGGATTTTGTCAATTTCTTACTCCTTTGGCTTCCTAATTTGGTTTTGGGTAGTTTGTGTTTTTTTTTTTTTTTTTTTTTTTTTTTGGGGGGGGGGGGGGGGTAGGTAGTTTTCGTTTGTTTTAATATAATTTGATTGTTTTATTTGAACAGTTAATTTATGTTAACTGCATCTTGGTTAGTGTATTTTGTGTGTGTGTGTGTGTGTGTGTGTGTGTGTGTGTGTGTTTTGCTTGTGTTGCTTTATTATTTTGCTCTACTATTTTTATTATTATTTTTGTTAGGAAGAAAAAAAAAAGGAAGAATTTTCTGTGTGAAATTCCCAGGGTGGCATTGTCTGGCAAATAGAAAAACAAACAAATAAATCGGTTCTGCCATTGGTTCTTCTTTTCAGAGGGATTTGCTAACTTTCGGAACATCTATTGCACAGGCACTCTGGATGCAAAGCAAGGACCTATTAGTGAGGAAGAGGGGGTGGCCTTAATCGGCTGTTGAAAGGGAATTTGAAAAGAAAAATCCTCGAGGTCCAGCAAAAGCTATTCCTACAGAAAAGGTCTGGACAGTGGTTGGAAATGAGCATCAACACTGCTCAGTAACCACTCCAGGGTTTTTTTTTTATGATATGTGAAGTGAGGGCCACTGGTCTGTAGTCATGTTGTGACAGGAAAGGTGATTTAAACTGTGATATGAGGAAAAACGGAAAGCAGACAAAAATATGAGGTGCAATGTCAGGCATTGACGTTGGTTAAGGCACAACATAACGGTGGTAGCTTACTGTATGTGCAAGGTTTCATTTGGCCCAAAAAGGGGCTAAAATCCAAGACCTTACCGAGGTCCACTCTGATCCATGAAGTCATTGAGGTCTGGGTCTTTATTTAACACAAATTGCTGTTTTTTTTTTTTCATCTTCATTTTAATGTTTGTTTTTGTTGTTCATGTCAATGGAGAGACCTGGCTTTTACAGGCTTTTGTTAAAGTTACTCCACTCTTTTAAGGTCTAAGCTCATATTTTTTAAAATATATCACAGCATTACCTGGGATAAAACCTTATTTGGAGAAATTTTCACCTAAATTGTGAAACAGTTTAACAGGTTAAGTGACCAAGTCCGCAAAAATGTTTAAGTCGACCCTGCTATGCAGAGACAGATGATTCCGATTCAGTTTGAAGTTTGAATACAACACGGACTTACAGTAAGTGCTACAGTAAATCAGTCCTCTCTGAGTCTGTTCTGTGTATGTCGTGTTGGACCGCTGGGTCACTTTTCACCTAAATTAAGCCTGTTTTGGGTCTGTAACATGATGAGCATGCTAAAAAGATCATACAGTTCACACAGGTCTACAGTGCCTCACAATGAAGACGTAAAAATAAAATTCAACGAGTATATAAACAGTTGGACGTTTTTATGCAGCCATAAAGTGGTCAGGAGCTTTTCAGCATTACCCAATTAGATCTAAATACCAGACAGCTTTCTGAATTAGAGGCATTTCTCAGCTCATTAAAATATCATGAATATTAACACCAGGAGCAAATAACTGGTCTGTGATGATGTAGTTTGCAATGTCATTATTAATGAAATTCATAAATCGCTATTTAAATGGGGGCCTTTGTTTTAAGTTGTCCGACTTTTATTGCTGCACAACTTTTCTGAGATGTTATAGTGATGGAAACCAGCTTCACCTAAACAGAGCTTTATGCACATTTAAATCAGACATCCCTGTCAAAGTTTCCTGCAGTGAGAGAGAAAGAGATAGACTGTGTTGGTCTGCAGCTCCCCAAATGTCAAGCGTCAGTGGAGACAAAAGCAGCTGCTGACATGAATGAATAAATGAGGGGCTGATAATGGTCACTGTTGTTAGAAAGATGGATTTACTGAGGGATGCCTCTGTCTCCTCGTGATGGAGGGGAGTCCTGAGATCACTTACCAACCTTCACCACCTCCTCCCCCCTGGGCCCCAGGTGTGAAGCAGCTGCACCTCTCAGGCCTCCTGACCCTCAGTCTGTCCACAGCTCAATACAGCATTAGCCTCTGCAGCTGACCCAGCCACTGAGGCCTCCGTACTGATAACTGCCTGCTGGACGATACAAGAAACAATGGCACTGTTTCCATCATTTACTTAATAAAACTGGGAATACACAAACAACTTCGATTAGAATAGTTGTAAGGAAAACCAAACCAGATTAAACCTGTTGTCAAAAAGATTTACAAACTAACCAGTTTCTGGAGTTTGGGAAGTAAAATCTTGTTTGATATAAGGTGTCAGCTGCTCTTTCGGGGGTCTCTGATGTCCTATTTTCTTTGTAAGGATTGTGATGGGTTATATATCAGGACTAAAGCCTGGACCCTTCTACTACAGAGCCATGCAGTAGTGTAAAATTGACATCTTTTTGGTTCTCTCTGAAAGAGTCATTCTCCATGTGGCAGCATATGTTGCGCCAAAACCTGTACTGTTTAGCATTAATGTTCCCATTCCATGGAAACTGCCTTATGATCTGTGCACAGACAACAAGCCAGGTGGCCTCTCTCCTCTTCAGTCAATCCTTAATAGACTCAGACCCAGAGAGGACAGAGAACCACATGCAGTATTTATGGTTCCAACTTTGCATGAAAACGTTTTCACCTGAATTTATAGATGAAGTGATGATCTGTGTTCACAGATTATGTTCTTTTTTGGAATGATTTTGAGCCCATCAGTATGTTAACATGCACAGTAATTTATTTGAACTACTCTCTTTGTTCCAGGAAATGTAAATGGATTCTCTACTGTCCTTACATCTGGAGGGAATTGATTTATCGATAGAAGCATGTCTGCCTCCGCCACAGTCAGTGGTAATATGTCATTTTTCTGCTCATAACTTTTGGGCGGTCTCCTGGTTGACCTACTACGCCATGTAGGATGTTAATCAAACATGAAAACACAGTCACTTTCTGAGCTTTATATATTTTAACTATGACAGCTTGGTCTTTTTACTGTCCTCTATTCATTTGTCAAGGTTTTGTTTACTACCCAGCTTCCTTGCTCAGTGTTTTTGCTGTTCTACCTCTAAGCCCAGCAATGTAAACTCTGGAGCATGCTCAGAATGCGTAGGCCAGTTAAATGCCTACTAAGTCAGCTTAAAATGTAGGTGTCATGATTTATGACCAGCTAACCTTTCAGATTCATACAGCCTTGATTGCTCGGTCCTGCTGATTTGCCCTCTATCACATCAAGAGGATCAGACCATACCTGCCAGAGCATTCAACACAGCTCCTGGTACAGGCCTCCCTACATGCGATGTTAAACTTCTGCAAATGATCCAGAACACAGCAGGAAGTCTGGTCTTCAACCAGTCCAAGACAGCTCATGTCACTCCTCTGTTAATCTCTCTCACTCCCTCATATACAAGGCAATTCAAAGTGCTTTACAGATGCAAGAAAATACATTTGAAATGAAAAAGAGATTTAAACGATTGAAAACCATTACTTAAGTGCTCAGAACTGCAGTTCATTGGTTGTCTTCTTGAAGCAGGTTGCCAAAGCTTGGAAGCCACATACGCATTCAGTAAAGCCCTTCTATCAAGCAGAAATAAATGTGTTTTGCATAATTAGAGGCAGAGCTGACTTGACTGACATGTAGGCACCCTGTAGCTGTTAAGAAGGAGGCTCCCCCACAACTCCACTTCTGTCCAAGAGTTAGGATAAGTCAGCATTTCCAATATGGTGACCACATGGATTTCAAATGCTGCTTCAGAAACCAATGGGTCACTAAGATGTCACCTGTGTTTTATGAGTTAGTTTTGATAATGGAGGCACAGGAGCATATCAGCCTTCTGAAAGGCCCACGCTGACTTTTTATTGCATTTTTGATTTGGTGTTTAAGTGTTAAAGTATTTAAAACACTAAAAATATTGAAAATTAACTCCATTGTTAAACAGTTTTCTGTCTTTTAACAACCTCAAATGATTTATCAAAATTGTGTGTAGGAGTTATTTCCCACCAACAGATAGATTATTTATTCCATGTTACAGAAACATTCAGTGTGTGAGGCTTTCTGAGGATATTTCACAGAGTTTAAGGATGATGTGATTTTCTGAGAATGTCAGAGAATAACAACCGCTTTTACTCAGGAAAATCATCATCATGATTATCAGTCATCAATTGTTGTCACAATGTATATAGTCCTGGGTTAAGATGTGTTGATGGACACTTTAAGGTAACACTTTCATACTAAGATCTTGTGTACATGGTCAGAGTACAGATGAGGGATGTGAAAATCTCAGATTGATAAAAAAATGTCAGTAAATCTGTAAATCAGAGAGCTAAAACAGCTCAGAAACTTAGTTTGCACTACCTGCTGCCTCTGTGTTTAGACAGGCTTCGATCACTGAGTCACCCACATGGCCTTGAATGATGCTAATGCCTCTGCTGCTGGATAATTAAAGGTTATCATACCTTAAAATTCATGTTTCACAAAGGTCACCCACATGACATCAAAAACAGCACTCAGTCAGAAATATTAAGCTAATATCATGTGTGTTTAAACCAAATTTCAACTTTAATATGACTCAAATGATAAAAAAAAATCAAAGGATTAAAGTGAATAAGTTTGACCTTTATCTATCAATGATGTCCTTCACTCCTCCCTTCAGCTTTTAAGAGACCAGCCTGACTCAGACCAGAGTTTGATCATTCGGATTTGACTGCTTTATACACTTCATTCATTCATTCATTCATTTATTCATTCATTCATTCATACATTCATTCAGTCAGTCAGTCAGTCAGTCAGTCAGTCAGTCAGTCAGTCAGTCAGTCAGTCATTCACTCACTCACTCATGGTAATGCCAGTTAGAACCGTAAAACATAGACATTCAAAACACAAATCACAGAGAAGCATCATCACATAATCAATTAAAGACTTAGTAAAACTTTCCAAAAAAAAACCCTCAACAGAGATCTGTACTTAAAGGAAGATGCAAACATCAGGTAAAATGGGCCAAATAAGAGTATACAGCATTATACTGTAGCACTCTAAAATTTTAAAGCCTGTAACAATTACTGATCTTGCAGATTTGCTTCAACTTGTTTCTGTAAGTTTGATTAGCCAATTGGGGTTAAAGAGGAAGGAGCAGTGAGCTGGTTTGGGCTATTCTCAGCTAAACTTTCAATCAAAATGGGTCAGTACTATCAGCAATAAAGGAACTATGATTTGAGGCTAAATGGGCCACAGCTATTAGCTAAACAGCCAGGACTTAAAGCTGAAACGGGTAAAAAAAAAAATTCTGCCGAAATGGTCCAGGGCTTTCAAATAAAATTGCAGTTGAATATAAGCTGAAAGAGTCCAGGATTTTATCTTGAGGAAAAGAATTTTCATCTAAAATGATTCTTATTTTAAGCTTAAAGGGGCTTCAGCTTAGGTGGGCCAGCGGACTCTTTTACTACTTAATTTTGCTTGAAAGCACTAAATTACCTGTGCAGACACCTTCAAACCAGTATCCCCACTGCTGTAACAGATGGGGAAACCAACAACCAAGGGCTTGATCTACTAAAGGTTTGTGTGTGCAAAAACACGTGCAAACCTGATAGCACACAAAAACCTGATCAACTAACCGGGTGCACTGAGGATTGCGTCTGTCAAATGAGCAAAACAGTGCGCAATCGATTTAGCGTCTTTGCCTTCATGAATATGCATAATGTATGTAGATCATCAGTGCAAAATTCTGGGAGGAGCGGATGCAAATGGAATCATTTAGCACCTGCACTGTGATCTATCAAACCTGTTCATTCAGAACGCTGTTAATTCTGCAGTTGACTTTGCAAAGTCGGCAGAAATCGTTCATATCTGCAGAAGATGTCGGATATAAACGATTTCTGCCAACTAAATTGATGGAACATTGTATTTCTGTAAAAGGAATCAGTTTATGGAACAATCTGAACAAAGACATCAAAGAATCCAAGTCAAAAATTACATTTTAAAGAAAAATAAAAGCCAGTATATTAAGGAAATATAAGGAAATATGTTAGTTATATCTGATTGTCATACCATTGTAATTTTGTTGTTGTTTGTATGGCATTAACTGAATTGTAACTTGGGATGTAAATGACTGTCTGTGGTGGCCAGCAGCTATATTTTTATTTCATTATATATTTTTTTGTTGTGTTTTGTTTATGCTGTTGTTGCTTTTTATTATTATTATTATTATTATTATTATTATTATTATTATTATAAGTTTGTTCTTTGTAAATTGATTTCTGGGGATAAAGGGGCAGATAAAGTAAGATTAGTCTTCTCTCTGCTCCCTTTCATTCCAGATAGGAGAACGTTTGTATTTAAATTTAATTGTTTCTTTTTATTTTTAAAAGAATGGAATAAAGAATAAATGAAATGATCCTTGTCCAAAAGCTTGTGATTTATTTTGTTTTTCCAGTAAATGATGATTTTCATAAATAAAAAGGTCAAACACGAAACAGACGAAAAAATTTATCTGTTTGTCTTTTTGATTTTAAATTGTTTTAATCCCTTTTTTGATTTCTATCTTCTTGCATCTGTAAAGCACTTGGAGTTCTCTGTGTATGAACAGTGCTGTACAAATAAACTTACCTTACCTTTTATGCAGTTCCCCAAAAGGATATGTGCAACTCCATGGTTTCAAACACTCAGCGCTCTCATTTTTCAGTTTGCGCAATTTAGCGCTTGCTATTTTGGATCTTAGTAGATCAGGCCCAAAGTCTCAGTGCAAACTGGCAGCCAATAAATTTGAATATAAATTTCTTTGACATGTTTTTAATGCACTGTCCTTGTGGTGATTGATCTGATGTGGAAATGTAATTTTTTTTATGAATCTCAGCTAGGGGGTTCTCTGCAGGGTGTGATACTGCCCCCAGGGTTAAGGTGAATCTTGAGCAGCATTTCAGTGTTTTAGATCATAAATGTCAGTAAATGCAGGTAATTCTCAGATTTCAGACATCAGGGCAACACACAAGAACAGAGGTCCCATGTGATCCCATGTGAATAATGCTTTAGAGAACAGTCTTTTTCATCGTCAAAGTCAGAGGAAAAATTTCTTACAGATGAGAGTCATTCGAAGATGGTTGTTTTTAGACTTTCCTGATCATATGAGTGTTTGCACCCCTGGTTTTCAGGGTTGCTTTTGGTGTTGTGACATTTCCCAGCAAGGTCAAAGGTCACTGACCAAATGTCAGCAGATAGAGGCGATCAAGCAGATGGTAAGCTGAGTTTCAACAGTATTGATCCTGTCAATCGTCTAATGAGCTGAGACACAAAATTGATGCTTCCAACTACAGAGCTGTGATGGTTTTATTGGCAGACCCGAATTCACAGGTTTTAAACTCCCCAGATTTGGGAAGAGAAATGTCCAGATCTGTCCAGGTCTGCTGACAAAATGAGGTGGTCTGTCAAAGGGAATCAGGAATTTTCAATGACAGTTTAAGCAAGAATGAAGTACACATTCCTTGAAAAATTGTTGGGATGTGATGCAAAATTGTAGACATTAACCAAGAAAAGTTTCAATTTTCACTTATCCTCAAAACTAACCCAATAAAAGTTCATGTGTGAAGGTATTAGTAGGGTAAAAACTAAGTCACCTTGACAACCTTTTGGGAAAATATCAAAATGCCTGAGTTAAAGACTCCTGATATGTTTATGTCAAATTCCTTAGTGTTTCTTTCCTGGAATCTTTTGTAAAATCAGTCTTTTCACTTTAACTTGACAAACATTTAATAAAAGAAGGGTTTCCCTTCTCAGCAGTCACAGTAAATCGGGAGGAGAAAGAGGATTTCTGTCTTCCTCCTCGTTCAGCCTCAGAGGGTCACATATGCGGCAGCGGTCGAGGGGCATTAGTGCTCAGTGGTAATCAAAGGACAGGGATAGAGAGGCAGGGAAGCAGGGGTATAAAGGGACTCGGTTGGGTGCTAAAGCGGCCCCCTCTGCACCCAGTGCCTTTTAATTAGGCTCATAGCAGGGATGCTGCACGCACACGCACGCACGCACGCACACACACACACACACACACACACACACACACACACACACACACACACACACAGTCATAAAGTGACAGTCGCACACCTTTTTCTGCCTCATTATTCCTGCGGATGTGTCGTCTGTGTTTGCTGGTAAATTGGGGGTTTGGATGTCTTTTGTTAGGGGAGCATAGAGGCTGTGCGGTGGTTTTCTTTTTCTTTCAGGTAATCTGCTGTGTCACAGGATTTCTGTGAAACAAAGGGATAACATATCTCATAAATGGTAATTTATACAATTCATACTGTAAAACTGCAAATCAATGTTGTATGTACTTTATAGACGACTAAACACAGAACTGAACAATGATTTTACATGGTACCATTTTAACCTTGGAGTTGAAGTTTTCATCAGTCATATTTAACTTTCTGTGTGAAATAATGGGCTTTGTACAATAGGAGAACAACATTACAAGGCCTCAGAAAAGACAGACATCTGCTGAGGCTGGAGAGACAGCAGAGACAGAAAAACAAAAGAACAGAGACAAACACATAGACATTCAATGTGTTTACCTGCACAGGTAAGCTGAGCTACTGTTATGGCTAGATCAGAAAATTTAACTGAACTTCTCCTTTGAAAACATTTTAATGTATTTGACCTAGATGCAACTTTTAAACTTTCTATAGTTCAAGCATTGCTGTCAATGCAAACACAGCCACTGACAGGTTCACAACTCTGTAACATTCAAGTAAGTGAGATGAAAGCTTTGTCTTTTTTACATCTGTTATTTGTCTATTGAGACCAGGCTTCCCTCAATGTCTCTAAGCCTTACACCTTATGAGAAACAACACTAACATCCTGAGTGACAGAGTAACAGACATATTAATTGCCATTAATAAATATGTGAGTGACTATGTCCAATCCTGTCTAATAGAATAGTCATGACATGTACTGTTTAATTGATTCTTCTGAATATTTCTCTGTCCTTATGACTATGGAAAACTAGCAGCCGCTTGTTTGTACGGAGACCTGAAGGGGAGTCCATCGACTACAGCGGGGGGACGCAGCTCAAGGAGGAACATTTATGATCATTACTTTATCATGGAAATGCAATCAAACTGAGACACTAAGGCAGAAGAACTATCACGTCTGCAGAGCAAAATGATCAATATGAGGATTACTACTTTAAGTAAATGATAAAGTCATGATCATAAATGTTCTTCCTTGAGCTGCGACACCCTGCTTCAATCAATAGACTCGCCCAGAGGTCTCCGTACGAACAAACGGCTGCTGGAAAAGAGTAGGTGAGTTGTGTTTAGTCTCTTTGCTAAAGAAATCAGGCAAAGCTAAAAAGATGTTTGGTGGCTAGTACTATGGCTAGGACCCTATGTACTGTTAATTTTACTTGTTTTATGCTGAAATATATCTTTAATTGGAATTGGGGTTTGTTATGAAGGCTCCTCTGACAACTTTTTTTTATGCTTATGAAATTAACTGAAATTCACAATGATGCCTTATAAAGACATACAAAAGCAAACAAGACCATCAGGGATAAAATGTATGTTTTTTGACCATATTTTTTAATGTCCCAAACATGTGTAAGGTGGTAGGTGTCAGTGGAGCTAATAAAAAAAGCCCTATTTGCTTATTCCACATAAAATGTTAACAATGAATGACACGTTTGTGCGTCACAAGTCAGCAGGATGAGATTTTTTTTTTTTTTAAATCAATAATTGCTACATAAGCACGTAGAGGACATGATATGCAAAAACTGTGTTGTCAGTGGGGGGCACCGAAATTGACAGAAACTGAGAGTTCCTCACAGGAGTTTTAAGGGTGACATACAGTACAGGCCAAAAGTTTGGACACACCTTCTCATTCAATGCATTTTCTTTATTCTCATTACTATTTAAACTGTAGATTCTCACTGAGGGCATCAAAACTATGTATGAACACATATGGAATCGTGTGCTTAAGAAAAAAATGTGAAATAACTAAAAACGTGTTTTATATTTTAGATTCCTCAAAGTAGCCACCCTTTGCTTTTTTGATAGCGCTGCAATCTTTTGCTGTTCTCTCAATGAGCTTCATGAAGTAGTCACCTGAAATGGTTTTTACTTCACAGGTGTGCCATGTCAGGGTTACTTCGTGACTAACAGACTCAGTTACTAAGTACTTCTGTCATCAAGAGCAAAGGGTGGCTACTTTAAAGAAACTAGAATATAACACGTTTTCAGTTATTTCACACTTTTTTTCACACAAAATTCCACGTGTTCATTCATAGTTTTGATGCCTTCAGTGATAATCTACAATGTAAATAGTCATATAAAAAAAATTAAGAAAAGACACTGAATGAGAAGGTGTGTCCAAACTTTTGGCCTGTACTGTATATTTCTTTGCTCATTTTCCACATGAGAAAACCTTAGCTTGCGACCAAGTGGGCTAATGCTATAACTTGTATGTGTTTAAAAATGTAAATTATAATGAAGTTATTGAAATAAAACTGGAATGTCGATAAAAAATGTTGTTTACCTTTCCCTGCGATACCAAGTCAGAGTGCAGCATTACTGTTGTAAGCCATCATTGCGAATGTGCAATCAATGGTATAAGGCCTTGGTTAAGTCGCCTTACCTGCTGCCTGTGGCTCTGATGACGTCATTTAATGCTTCGTGCCTCGTACCCAAATATACAAGTTTGTATGCGGAGAAATTAATTTGTTTTTGTGACTGCTTGAAGTCGTAGATTTGAGATTTATACTTACATAAAACACTCAGTATTTGCTGACTCATATATATAAAACCATATTTTTGGGGGGTATGAAGCATTTATTTATGCATAAAGTTTTCAAACATGAATACAAAATGTCAAAATTATGCATACACACATTTGACAGGGATGGTACACCATAGCCTTAAAGATGCCCTGACCAGATCTACTGCAGGTGCATGGATTGCAGGACAGGATGTTGCTCCACTTTTCTGTGACCATTCGCTCCTTAGGCTGCCCTCTGTGTTGGCTTTATGTCATTATTTCCCCACTCTCAAGACCATCCTGAGACAGAGACTAATGTTTTTTACCAACAGGCTGACGTGAGCTGTGCTGGACACAGCTGGATGATAATAAACACTAAAAAAAAATAAAAATAAAAATCTGGCACACTCCAAACAGACTCAAAAACATAGTTGGCATAGTGTGTGTATTTAAGTGCTGTTTACAGGGCTTAGTGCTGAAACAGATGCCCTGAGGGAGGATCAGCTGCCAGTAACAAGCCTTTCTACTTCCACATGCACAAAAACATACACTTAAACACACACTGTGGCCAATTTGAGTTTATCCCAGTGTGCAGTGCAGGACATAATCCCCCACTGTAATTGCATTTGGGAGCTTTCTGAAAGGCTTGATACACCGCTGAAGCCACTTTAGTGGAGAGAGCTGTGTTTCAGGTCTCTCCAAGGTCGCTGCTGAACAACATACGGCTCTCAATCCAGTAATCTCTCTATTCCCAAACATGATGGCCAAAATATATGCATCAGGGCTGGTGATTAGTCAGCCGCTGTGACGCTCCTCTTTGATTTCACATCATTTGAAATGAGCAGCTGAGTCCAAAACAGTGGCGGCTGCTGGATTTTCAAGGAGGGGAAGCTCATTTTTCTGGCCTACATCATAATTGTGTTTGTTTATTTGTATGTAACAGAACAGAGTCGCCAAACACAACAGCAGTCGTTTTTAACAAAGACAAAAGTCGCTGAGGATCGGTAAAGCCTCCGGAGCAGTTAAGAACAACGGAATGAATAACTTGGAAAATGCTCTGGTAGATGTTTTATTCTTCAAGATCAGCTTGTTTAGCTGTCAATCAAAAAAAGGTTTGGCCTCAGACAGCTCATCCAATGCAGAAGCTCAGCGTCCGCGAGAAAGTTGGGACCGCCCTCTCGCCATAGAACTCCAGAGACGCTGAGCGTCCGATGGGCGGGACAAAGCCCAGCATTTATCCAATGAGCGTCTAGTTTCGCTGCTGGAACAACCCACTTTGAGCTTCCACATTGAAGTCAGCAGACGCTGAGCGTCCGGCTGTGTAAAGCACTGAGGCGCTGCGAGGATGAATGAGAACGAAGTTGTGCCGGTTACCTGTGATTATCAGCTTCTTATCACAGTGTGATAAGAATTCTGAACAAAAGATGAAGGCTTTCTAGCGCGTATTTAGTTAATGAAATGTACACACAGCAGTACGTATTTCACCACTTTTTCTTTTTTTGGGGGGGTGACATTTTAAGGGAAGCTGAGCTTCCCTTGCAGTCTTAGAGCAATCGCCACTGGTCCAAAAACAATGACAGCCACATTAAATGTTACTCAAGGAGAGAGAGCAAGAGGAGAAGTGATAGACAGAGAGATTCAGAGTGAAATGTGTTCAATTTTCACTCTGAATCTCTCGGTTCTCTCCTTTACAAGAATTTCTCTTTGGTAATTTTGTGTGACAGTAGCGTGCTGAATGCTGAGGTCCAGGTTTAAGGAACCCAGTCAGGTGCCCCCAGGGCACTGAGGTTTGATAAACCTCTGAGGTTAACTCAAAGACTTTTTTAGTATACATGGGAAAACTTTAAAAAACATATTTCCACTCATGTCACAGGGGGACATCTGATGTGAGGAAAAGGGGAGAGAGACATGAGACATTCTCCTCAGCGCCACATAAAGTGATGTCTCTTTGTGATGACGGCATCAGCTGATCACATCTGCATCTGCTGTTAGTCAGCTTGAACAGCTATTTGTGTGTCTGTACACACTGCACTTAAATAGCTCAAATGAAATTTTACCAAATGCACATAAATACCTGCAGTCTGTTGACTCTATACAGATGATCTTGCTCGTAAAATGTGTCATAATAATGAAAAAAAGGAATAAACTGCCAAGCTGGGCATGGTGGTGGGGTAAGGGGAGGTGACCACAGAATCAGCTGGTGCAGTGACATTTTCATGCTTGCCGGCAGTGGGTAAAGTGCACTGAAAGGTTGCCGATTCAAACCTGGTATGCTTTCAGTGCAGGCAAAGCGCAGCTGATCTAGTGGTATTCTGGTAGACACAGCTCAAACAGCATTGAATTTAATATCCAGTCACACACGAGAGATAGTGAGATAGTAGGCAAACGTCAACGATGCCTCACAGGCATGTTTCCACAGTGTCGGGCACATTTTAATGCAATAAATAATCAACAACAACCAGTGTTCAGTGCAACTATCTAAGTCAAAACATACGTTTAGATGTATAATGATGTATTCTGATGTACTATATCTTATCTGATCAGTGCATTTGGCACATGCTTTATACTCCAACTGACTGGATTAACAGCTGAAACCGCATTGAATTAAATATCCAGTAAACAGTCTCACATGATGAAGTTAACGAGATACTTCATCAGTCCCCCGTCCCCTTTCTCTCTTCCTCTTCTTCCTCGTGCAGCTCAACCCGGACACATCTTTTGTGTCCTGTTCCCGTCCTGCTGCTGCTGTGGGGGCAAGGCTGTTATTATGGCAGCTGATTTATTTTAGTGATCAGATGAATTATTTACTTAAAAAATAAATAATCTATCATTCAAAACAACCTGTTTATCTGATGTTCTCACATCCTTAAAATTATGTTAAATATTTAATCCGGAGATAGGCCAACATACAAATATTATAATATTCAGTTGTGTGAGTTTATTTTATATGCCAAGATCTATGAAAGAAAGTACCAGGCCACAGAGTGTGATGCGTCCTTTACACACAGGTGGTTCCAATTTTAATGCCATTATTGGAATTTGTTTATGTTGTGATTTGTGCGCACAACCAACCTTTGTCACATGGGGTTTAAATAGATGCAACTTGATGGGCTCTATTTTCGTGCCTCGCCGGAGACGTGCCACAGGCGCGGCGGACCTGACTTACGCCGCGCCTGCGGCACGTCTCTGACAAGGCGTTCCCAAGCACAATTTGGTATTTTGGTGAGCGGCGCAGCCCGGCGTAAGTATCCCCCCTCCCTAACTCAGCTCCTCCCAGCAGCGTAAGTCGAAGCGAGGAAGGAGAGAGGGCGTGGAGTGGGTTTAACACAGCCGAGACCTGTTTTCACCAATCACATAAGCTCCTCTACTTGCCTTTAAATCCGCCACTGGCGAGGCATATTACAATTTCAGTGAAGTAGTCAAAGAGATCAAAAGATGTGTGAAGACAGCAATGCCACACGATGGCGACAGAAGGCAGCTCCTCAACAAGTGTTGCTGTAAGCCCTGCATTGGGCGTCCTCCACACTGTCTCATATGAGCACAGATGGATTTGGTGTGTGTAATGTTGGACCCACTGGTAAGATCATGGTCATGGTGAAAGTCTCAAATTGGCTGAACAGTTGCCATTTACAACTTAACACCTCCAAAACTGTTGCTATGTTTTTTTCCAAAACAAACAAATCACATACTGAGCCTGATGTTTTTATTTCTGGACAAAGAATCCAAATTGTAAATGAATATAAATATTTAGGTATCGTGTTAGACAGTAATCTTACTTTTAAACATCATGTTAAAAAAGTAAGCAAAATTCTTAAGGTCACACTTGGAAATTTCAGGCACCTCAGAAATCATATGTCAACAGAAGCGGCAAAAATGTACATGTTTTCTCTTATAATGTCCCATATTAATTATTGTTTACCCGCCTGGTCCACCGCAAACCCCACTACTTTAAACCCATTAATATCACTATACAAACAAGCACTCAAAACTCTGGATAAAAAACCAAGATCTTTTCATCATTGCACAATTCTTCAAAAATATAGGTTATTAAGCTGGAACAATCTTGTCCTTTTCAAAAATTGCTGTCTTACATATAAAATCCGTCATAGGGTAGCTCCGCCCCCACTCTGCAACCTCATACAGTTTAGATCTCCAGCAACCAGTGGTACTAGAGGGGCGGCCAGAGGAGACTGCCAGATCCCACTTAGAAAATCTGTATTTGGTCAGTCAGTTTTTTCTTGTAGGGCAGGCAAGGATTGGAACACAATACCACAAAACATAAGCGAATCCAATTCATACAGAGCATTTAAAGTAAATTTGAAGAGGTGGTTACTTGAAAACCAAACTTGTTCCCATTAGTTGGTTGGCGTGCTTTCGAGTGGGTAATGTTGATGTTTTAAATATTGTGTATTATGTATGTTTTTATGTAGTTGCTGATTTCCCACCTTTTTAGGTAGCCATGTTCCTTCTGGCAGGGGGACTACCAATGGAAACTAGCCTTGTGGCTACAATTGGGTCCATTTACATTTTATCTTTTTAAAATGTTCGTTAATGTACACTGTCCCTCTTTAACAAATAAAAAGGAAATGAAATGAAGACAAACATCCTTTTCCACAAATAAAGACACTCACATAAAGTTGCATATATTCAAACCTCACATGACAAGGGTGGGCACAGATCACAACATAAACTCCAAAAACGGCATTAAAATTGGAACCATCTGTGCGTAATGACGCATCACGCTCTGTGGCCTGGCTCTTTCTTTCATAGATGTTGGCATAAAAAATAAATTTGGCTCACAAAACTGAATATTATAATATCCGTATGTAGGCTTAAAGTAAATTCATCTGATCACTGAAACAAATCATCTGTTCAGCCGCTGCTGCTGCAGGACGGAGAGAGGACACAGACACATGTCCAGGTCAAGCTGCGTGAGAAATAAGAGGAAGAGGAAGAAAGAAAAGGAGGGAGACGAATTACATATCTTGTTAACTTCATCATGTGTGTTTGTTTACTAGATATTGAATTTAATTTTCAGTTTCAGCTGTGTTAATTCAGTCAGGTTGTGTGTCCAAACGTGTGCCAAATGCGCTCATCAGATCAGATATAGATCAGAATATACCTATATAGATCTAAATGTATGTGCTGACTCAGATTAATAGTTGTTGTTGCACTGAAATGTGCCTGACACTGTGGAAACCTGCCGGTGAGGCATCGGCGACGTATGCCGTTACGCCGCAGGTCTACCAAAATACCACTAGACCAGCTGCGCTCCGCCTGCGCTGAAAGCTGACCAGGTTTGAAACGGCAAGCTTTCAGCGCACTTTACACGCCACCGGTGAGCACGAAAATGTCACTGCACCCGCTGATTCTGTCGACACCTCCCCCTGCCACGCCACCACGCCCAGCTTGGCGGATCTTGGTGCGCCTCAGTCCACGAAAATACCAAACTGGCTGTACGCCGGGCTCCGCCAGACGAAAATACAACTGCGTGGGGTCCGCCACCCTCCGCCGCCTCACCATCGTACACGAAAATAGAGCCCATATTGTTAGAGAGACATGGCCTGACACTGAGACATTACATGAGGAAAAAGCTACCTTTAGGAAACACTGGAGATAAAAACAGAGATAAAAATGGTGAAAAGAAAGAATAAAACCTGATGGACTAAAACAAATGACATAAAATAAACAACTTGTTGAGGGGCTGCCTTCTGTCGCCATTGTGTGGCGTTGCTGTCTTCAGCCACCTCTTGATCTCTTTGACTACTTAACAAAAATTGTAATACACTTCGCCATTGGCGGATTTAAAAGTGAGGAGGGGACCTGATGTGATTGGTAAAACAGGACTTGGCTGTGTTAAATCCACTCCACGCCTTATCCCCTCCATCTCTGCTACTTATGCAATTGGGAGAAGCTGAGTTAGGGAGGGGGAGATACTTACACTGGGCTGCGCTGCTCACCAAAATACCAAAGTGAGCTTGAGCACTTATGCCATGCCACCATTAACACATAACAATAGAGCCCAGTGTAGGACTTATCTGGATGCAGATTTTTTTTTCTTTTTGTTTTATACAGTTTAATTTTAACTACGTTGCCTGATATAAGTTCCTTTATTGTTTCACTTTTTTTTTAAATTGTTTTATTTTATTTTAAAAGTTTAGTGTAAATAGTTGTCTGTTTTTGCTCCTTATAATTTACTTTTTGCAGCACTATAAAGTTAATTAATAAAGGAACTTTAATATAATAAATATTAATGCATGTTCTTCAACATTATTACACTGAACCAAAATATAAACGCAACACTTTTGTTATTGCTTCCATTTTTCATGAGCTAAACTCAAACATATAAGACTTTTCCTATGTACACAAAAGACCTATTGCTCTCAAATATTGTTGACAAATTAGTCTAAATCTGTTATTGAACACTTATCCATTGCTGAGATAATCCATCCAACTCACAGGTGTGGCATATCAAGATGCTGATTAGACTGAATCATTATTGCACAGGTTTTCACAAATTCACACATTCAAGGCCATCAACAACCTTGCTCCTCCATGCCTCTCTGAACACTTCCACATCAACTCTTGCACAGGGACGCTCAGGTCTGCTGCTCTGCCTTCCTCCTTTGGAACTCCCTCCCCCCTGTCATTAGGAACACTGACTCACTGTTCATTTTCAAATCCCATCTGAGGACACATTATTTGAGACAGGCCCACTCAGACGATAATGTTCTGTTGCAGAGTCCAGACTTACTCACGACTTACATCTTTTTTATTAAAAACTTTTGTTGTGTTGATTTGTATTTTATTGACTGTACAATTTATTGATGTGTCATTTTAATTCTTCTGTAAGGTGTCCTTGAGTGCCCTGAAAGGCACATATAAATGAAATGTATTGTTATTATTATTGTTATTAGGTGTGCCTTAGACTGGCCACAAAAAAAGGCCATTCTATAATGTGCAGTTTTACTGTATTGGGGTGGGGTGTATGTGTTAGAAAACCAGTCAGTATCTGGTGTGACCACCATTTGCCTCACGCAGTGCAACACATCTCCTTCACATTGATCAGGTTGTTGATCGTGGCCTGTGGAATGTTGGTCCACTTCTCTTCAATGGCTGTGCAAAGCTGCTGGATATTGACAGGAACTGGAACACGCTGTCGTACAAGCCGATCCAGAGCATCCCAAACATGCTCAATGAGTGATATGTCCGGTGAGTATGCTGGCCATGCAAGAACTGAGATGTTTTCAGCTTCAAGGAACTGTGTACAGATCATTGCAACATGGGGCCATGCATTATCATGCTCCAATATAAGGTGATGGTCACGGATAAATGGCACAACAATGGGCCCCAGGATCTTGTCACTGTATCTCTGTACATTCAAAATGTCATCAATAACATGCAACTGTGTTCGTGTCCATAACATATGACTCCTCCATTGGGCCTCTCCATTCATAACATTGACATCAACAAACCCCTCACCCACATGACGCCAAACACGCTGTCTGCCATCTGCCCTGTACAGTGAAAACCAAGAGTCATCAATGAAGAGGACACCTCTCCAAAGTGCCAGACGCCATTGAATGTGAGCATTTGCCCACATGGTGTCTGACAGTTTGTGCAGAAATATTTTGGTCATACGAACCAACTACTGCAGCAGCTCTCCGGGTGACTGGTCTCAGATGATCTTGGAGATGAAGATGCTGGATGTAGAGGCTGGTGTGGTTACATGTGGTCTGCGGTTGTGAGGCCGGTTGGATGTACTGCCAAATTCTCTGAAACGCCTTTGGAGACGGCTCATGGTGTAGAAATAAACATTCAATTCACAGGCAACAGCTCTGGTGGACATTCCTGCAGTCAGCATGCCAATCACACGCTCCCTCAAAACTTGTGACATCTGTGGCATTGTGCTGTGTGATAAAACTACACCTTTGAGAGTGGCCTTTTATTGTTGCCGGTCTAAGACACACAGGTGCAATAATCAACCTTTTTAATCAGCATCTTCATAGATCAAACCTGTGAGGTGGATGGATTATCTCAGCAAAGGAGAAGCGATAACTAACTCAGATTTAGACACATTTGTCAACAATATTTGAGAGAAATAGGTCTTTTGTTTACATAGAAAAGTCTTAGATCTTTGAGTTCAGCTCATGAAAAATGGGAGCAAAAACAAAAGTGTTGCATTTATATTTTTGTTCAGTGTAATTCATCTGGCACATAATATTAAGTAATTGGTCATAATCAATTAATTAAAGTGACAAAAAAATCTGAGGAGCCACTTGGGAGCCAAAAGAGCCCGATCATTGAAGTGAGTCGATCCAAAAGATACGGTTCTCTAAAAAGAGACAAACTTCCTATCACTTTTCAAGATAAGATAGGATAAGAAGAACTTTATCAATCCCCAAAGGGAAATTCAATTGTCTGTTGTCTCACATAAAATGTTTCTAAAAATGATCTATTATTTACATAAGAGTTATACACTATCTACTATTTACACAAGAATTGTAAAGTCTGATGGCTGTTGGTACAAAAGGTCTTGTGAATCTTTCTGTCCTGCAGTGAAGAGAGAGGAGCCGTCCACCACCATTGGTCCCTTGGTCCATCAAGGTGTGAAGTGGGTGATCCACGTTCTTTAGAATAGTCTCCACCTTCCTCAGTGTAGATCTCTCCACCACATCCTCTACTGAGTCCATTCTTCAGCAGTGTATGTAAGAGCGTTTCAATTGTGTATGTGAGAGCGTTTCATTAGTGTGTGTGTGAGAACACAACATTTAAGTAGTATGTATAAGAGCATTTTAGTAGTGTGTGTAAGAGCATTTTACTTGTAAGTGTGTGAAGGTTTTACACTGGAAGAAGAACTTTATTGAAGGGAAAGTCATTCATTCATATAAGATAACATGAGTATTTGACCAACCAGCATCCCATTTAGTCAGTCTCAGATTTATGAGATTATGTGTCGTAATTGTGATATAAAATTTTGACGATTAGTGTAGCTCCTTTAAGAGACATTGTTTCCCTTTCCCTCCTCTTTGTTTATTAATAGTTAAGTTTTCATTTAAATTTCATTTTGGCTTTTTGTTTTTTGTTTCAGTTAGTTTTTTATTTTTCATTTTTCATCTTTATTAAGATTTTTTTAATGCTCAGCTTTCCTTTAGTTTTTATACGCTTTAATGTCAGTTTTAGTTTTGTATAACATGGAGGGCAGTTGTCAGAGACGAGATTGAATCAAAACAACTCAGACTCCAGTGCAGATCTACCTGGCTTCACTCTCATAGGATCAGACAGAAATGCTTAAGCTAGTGGCAAGAAAAAAGGAGGAGGTCTGGCTTTATTTGTCAACCAGAGATGGTGTAACCCTTCACACATAACTGTGAAGGAGAAGCTGTGTTGTCCAGACATTGAACTGTTGGCAGTTGCTCTTCTGCCATATTATGTTCCAAGAGAATTTAGTCATATCATAACAGTAGTTGTTTACATCCCACCCTAATCAACTGAAGAAATTCCATGCAATCTTTTGCATTATAGTGCTGCTAGGCTACAGACTCAACGCCCGGAGGTACTAATAATAATATCAGGAGACTTCAACCATGTCACCCTCTCCTCTCACCTGACTGGATTCACACAGTTTGTGAACTTTTATACCAGAGAAACAAGATCCTGGATCTGGTGTATGCCAACATCAAAGAAGCCTACAGAGCCACTGCCTTACCACCACTGGGCAAGTCAGATCATAACTTGGTCTATCTGCAAACCTGCTGCAGACCTTGTGTACTAAGGCAGCCTGTGACCAAAGTCAAAAAAAGAAGATGGACACCTCAAGCTAGTGAAGCTCTAAGGGACTGTTTTAAATCAACAGACTGGAATGTGCTGCTGGAAACAGATGTGGATAGTATGAACGTTGATAAACAGGTTGACTGCTCTACTGAATACAATACAATAAAATACAATAAAAATGATACCTACAAAGACTGTTCCTCAACAACAAACCCTGGATCACGAGTGACATAAAAGCAATCCTTAACCAGAAAAAGAAAGCTTTTAAAGATGGTGACAAAGAACAACTCAAACAAGTTCAACAAGAGTTGAAGAGGAGACTGAAGATGGCAAAGCTGGAGTACAAAAACAAGATAGAGAGGAATCTACAACACAACAACATCTGTGAAGTGTGGAGAGGAATCAGTACCATCTCTGGACACAGAAGTAAAAAAAAAAGACAGCCAGTGGTGGGTGATGTGAAAAGGGCTGATGAACTCAACCTGTTCTTCAACAAATTTGACACTGTTGTCACATCCACTTCCACAGCTACTCCACCTTCCTCTCTGCAACAAATCTCCACTACAACTTCTCCCGTTCCTCCTCCATCTCATTCAAATGTCTCAACCACTTCAACTGCCTCCCTCCTAGAACACCAGTCCTTGTCTGTCACCGAAACAGGGGTGAGGATGGGGCTTGGAAGACTTTGTCCTGGGAAGGCAGCTGGTCCAGATGGTGTGTGTCCAAGGCTGCTTTGAGACTTTGCTGCAGAACTGTGTCAACCTCTCCACAGGATCTTCAACCTGAGTCTACAGCTGGGGCGGGTACATACTCTGTGGAAAACATCCTGCATTGTGTCAGTACCAAAAACAAAATGTCCTGCTGAACTCAATGACTACAGACCAATGGCCCTCACTTCACATATCATGAAAACCCTGGAGGGGCTGATTCGACATCTTTTGAGGTCTGAGGTCAAAGACAAACTGGATTCCCTGCACAACGTTTGCGTGACTTCTACAACTACAATAAAGTGACATACTCCAGGACCTGAGGTAAACAGTTTAGCAGTGCTACAATGCGCAGCAGGTCCTGTTTGACAAGAAACAATTCTGTGACAGATACTTAGCTTACTTTGTTAAAATGGGGCCCACTCAAAGTAAATGTAAATAGCCCCAGTGCTGATGTAGCAGCATGCTAACAGGCTACCTATGAACACAATGCTTTCAGCTCTTCTGCTACTAAAATATGACACATAACAGGACACAAGGTGAAATAAACTTAATGGTTTACCTGTCCAGCAGAAAAGTTACAGGGTCTGTAAGATCTTGAAGCGTCCCCCATCGATCAAGCTTCACTGATGTGGACTCTGCTTTTTACCTCTTGTCTGGGTGGTCTACCTCCTTTTAAGCACCCGTTGTTCTGCTAGGTTCTCCGGGCTCGTTCAATGAACGAACTTGCGGGTGTCACTCACAGGTGTACCGGCAGGACGGGGCTCTGAAGCACTGACTGATTCAGTGAACAAATCTTTTAAACGAATCCTTTTAATAAATGGATTCTAGAGATTCAGTACAGTCATAAGAACTGTTCTTCCCATCACAAATGTCATCGATAACTGATAACTATTGACTGATATTAAAAGCTTTTTTGTATATACACCACAAAAAAGATGCTTTTTTAACAGAATCCTGCCTACCCCACCTTGAACATTCAAGTGAAGCGCTAGTCAAATGATGAAATGGCTACTCATACCCGTTCTAGCAAGTAGAGCCTGTTTGATGCAGTCACTGTTAATGGACCCTGTTGGCTCTGCAACCATCCTGGGCCACCTGGTCATGTCCTGGTTCTTCTGATTGGCCACTACAGGCCTAAGTGAGCTTCTGCCAGAGGTTTGCCAAAGAAAAAAAAAAATTCTTTTGTTTTTATTACTAGAGTCTTGTGCTTTTAGCAAGGGCAGAGAGAAAAATAATCATGAATGTTGCTGAAAATGTTGAAAGAGTGCTGTTCATCAAATCCAAACTGAATAGCACTTGCCCAAACCAAATGGCCCATTTGAATACATGAAGTTGTCTGAATCTAAAAAGTCCAAAGTCTGAATGAAATTACGAGAGTTCTGCTGAAATTGGACGCACTCTTGTGATCTTGGTCACTTAGTGTGAGGTGATCTTAAATCTGGATGAGTACTGACTTCAGCCAGTCTTTCTTGTTATAAAAGCAAACCAGTCATAAACTATCAAAGGTGTTTCCTGATTTCTCTTTGCACTGTTAAGATGAGGCAAGCTCCAGCAAACATCCCATGCATGAGCTAGAACAATGAAATCCCTGCCATATTAGCCTGCCATTCAGCCACAAAATATTTCAAATCCATCAGAGCGGGTTTACACTGGAGGTCGTTCCCAAACTCACCTTCTTGTCCCCAGAGATGTCCCGCATCTCTCATTTTCATTCTTACATTTCCACATTCTTCACATTAAGTCTGATGGAACCTGGACCCTTTTGTTCTGGCGTGAGGGACCCCAGGTGATGCCCAACCCTAGTCGTCCATCACCCCTCCCACACCCCCAACTCCCCTATAAGCCTATGTCCTAGCTTGCATAATTGCAGGAGCTGGTGTCCCACCAGAGGAGAGCACAGTGCCCCACCCTATGTATCTCTTAACTTAGTCAGTATTAAAATGGTCTAATAAAGAGGGGGCAGATTCCCCGTGGTAATGGCTCCCTAGAGACCCCTGACTAATTAAAGGGCTGCCCCTCCACATGAGCAGTAATCACTCACAGCTCTGGGTGGACAAACACACAAGCTTTCACTGTATGATATTCAGAGTTTAGAAAGACGACACATCAGAGGATCAGGGTTAACCAGGCTTTCTTCTCCCACCATAGCTTTAGTTTAAATCAAAAAGTTCCCTTTATCAGACTGAAAGGTCCTGCTGTCTGTACATGCACACAAATTTTGACTGCACTTAAAACTCTAAAGTACAGGGAGGAAAATGTTAAAAAAGAGAAGTTTCAGGACGATTATTTCACTTTTGCACTGACACAATGAGACAGAATTTTCAACACGTTTCCACACCCAGTTTGACCAACATAAAAACCCTGGAGCGGCTGATTCTATGCCTTCTGAGGTCTGAGGTCAAAGACAAGAATAGAGTAGAATATAGAATAGAATATTCCTTTATTGATCCCCCATGGGGGAATTTTTTTTGTCACAGCAGCATCACGGACAAACAGTGCAAAAATGCAGTTATAAAATTAAAGATCCTAATATTAAGAACTTAAATAAATGTAATAATTTAGAAAAAGGAAAAAGGGAGAAGAAAAATAAAACTATCTACAATGTACACAATTTAAATGCCAGAAAAAAGTGGTGGTGTAAATCCAGTTATTATTACAGTTCGTTGTAAAGTCTTATTGCAGAGGGGAGGAATGACCTGCGGTAGCGCTCCGTCTTCCAAGGTGGAAGTCTCAGTCTGCTGCTGAAGGAGCTGCTTAAAGCCCCCACAGTCTGATGCAGTGGGTGAGAGGGATTGTCCATGATGGATACAAGCTTTGTTAACATTCTCCTCTTACCCACCTCCTCCAGGGAGTCCAAAGAAAAGTCAAGGACAGAACTGGCCCTCCTGACCAGTCTGTTCAGTCTCTTCCTGTCCCTCTCAGTGCTCCCTGCCCCCCAGCAGACCACCGCATAGAAAAGTGCAGATGCTACCACAGAGTCATAGAAAGTCCTGAGCAGAGTCCTGCACACTCCAAAAGACCTCAGTATCCTCAGCTGTTGGTTGACCAGTCCAGTTTGTTGTTGAGGTGGACACCCAGAAATCTGTAGGACTCCACCATCTCAATGTCCAGACCCTGGATGTTCACTGGAACAGTCTGAGGTGTCCTCCTCCTGCGGAAATCCACAACCATCTCCTTTGTCTTACTGGCGTTGAGATGGAGGTGGTTTGTGCCACACCAGTTGACAAAGTCAGTGATGACAGTCCTGTATTCCCGCTCATCCCCTGACAATACACATCCGACGATGGCTGTGTCATCAGAGAACTTCTGGAGGTGACAGCTCCCAGAGTTGTAGCTGAAGTCTGAGGTGTACAGGGTGAAGAGGAAGGGGGAGAGCACTGTCCCCTGTGGAGCCCCCGTGCTGCAGACCACCATGTCCGATACACAGTTCTGAAGCCTCACAAACTGTGGTCTGTCAGTGAGGTAGTCCACGGTCCACGCGGCTAGGTGACAGTCCACTCCTGCCCGCTCAAGCTTCCCCCTGAGCAGTGAAGGCTGGATGGTGTTGAAAGCACTGGAGAAGTCAAAAAACATGACCCTCACAGTGCTGCCGGTATTCTCCAAGTGGGCCATGGACCTCTGCAGCAGGTAGATGACTGCGTCGTCCACCCCGATGTTCAGCTGCTACGCAAACTGCAGAGGATCCAGATGAGAGCTCACCAGGGGGCGGAGGTTCCTCAGCACGATCCTCTCCAGAGTTTTCATCAGGTGAGAAGTGAGGGCCACAGGTCTGAAGTGGTTGGGCTCCCTGGGGTGTGCTGTCTTGGGGACAGGAATCACGCAGGAAGTCATCCACAGTGTTGGGACCCTCTCTAGACTCAGGCTCAAGCTGAAGATGTGCAGTAGCACCTCACAGAGCTGGTCTGCACAGTCCTTCAGGAGTCTGGAGCTGATGCCGTCAGGACCCGTGGCTTTCCTTGGCTTCATCTTCCTCAGCTCACTTCTCACCTGGTCAGCTGTTATGGAGAGGCTGGGGGTGGTGCTGGAGGGGGTGGTGGAGGATGAGTGGAGGGGGGTTGTTTCTTCACCATAGGTATGTAAATGGGCTGCAGTCTCACCAGGTTGTGATCTGAGCGGCCCAGCGGGGGGAGGGGGGAGGAGGTGTATGCATCCTTGGTGTTTGCATACAGTAAGTCCAAGTTTTATTGTCTCTTGTTGGGCAGTTTACATACTGGCTGAAGGTAGGGAGAGTGGAGGACAGTGATGCATGATTAAAGTCTCCAGAGATGATGATCAGAGACTGAGGGTGTGATGTTTGTAGCTTGGACACTTCACTATGGAGGAGTTCACAGGCTGCAGCAGCATCAGCCGAGGGGGGATGTAAACAGTTAACGCAATGACGTGCGAAAACTCCCTCGGCAGGTAATATAGCCGCAAACTCACAGCCAGCAGCTCAATGTCCTTAGAGCAGAGCTGCTCTTTAACACTGACGTGCCCAGCATTACACCATCTCTCATTCACATACACCGCTATACCGCCTCCTTTCTTCTTACCACTCTCCCTCACGCTCCAGTCCGCTCTGACGGGGAGAAAACCGTCCAAAGTTACGAGCGGGTCTGGAGTCAGTTCGTTCAGCCATGACTCTGTGAACATCATGAGGCTGCACTCCCGATACTCCCACTGCAGCCTAGTCAGCGCTGTGAGCTCTTCCATCTTGTTGGGGAGAGACCTCACGTTTCCCATGATGATGGACGGGACAGTTGGTTTATAACGTCTCCGCTTTGCCCGATGCTGAACTCCAGCCCTGCATCCTCTTCTTCTCCTGCGGAGTTTAGCGGGGATGTCCGGTCTCTCCCACGAAGGTGGCCGGGCTTGGCGCAGCGCCAACAGCTGTTCACGGCTGTAAACAACTGGGCTGCTGAATGGGTTGCCGGTCGCGGACTTAAAAACTC